AAATCAGAGAGGTATTTCTAATTCTATCCACTACCATAGCTAAATTTCTAAACAAGAACATAAGAAAGATGTCTGCATTACCTGCAACTATTTGAAGATCTGTGTTAATCATTCCCGGAAGGCAAAGAAAGATTTTCCACATGAAGCCAAACATACTTATTTGTGTAATTAAAAAAATAATATAAAAGCAAAATAATCCCAATTCCTTTTAGCAAAAGAGCTGTTGTCTTTACCGTAGCCTTGACCCAACCAAGAACATTGCACTTCTTGAAAATGTCTTGATGTCACATATTATCTTGGGAGAAAGCATTAGGTAAAAAAAGTCAACCAATACATCCTGGCTCCGCTCTTTTCAAAGACAGTATTCTGCTTTAGTGAAGAAACAAGAAAAGGTGATTGAAGTAGACTCCTTGGAGCTAGCAGATGGACTGACACAATTTTTTAATTTTAATCTGGCCAGCTAAGCTCTTTACCAGGGCTTGTCATACCATTAACAGACAGTCCAAACAAGGACAGCACCTTTCACATTTAATTAACCATGCTTTTTCACTGGCCTTTCAATTTCTGCACTTTTTAAAAATCCTACTGGCCACAAAACATCAGGGGGAGCACACTAATCTCCAGTAGAAAATCTTGTGTGTTTTGTCTTCTGCTTGTACAAATATAAACACATATATAAATACATGACTCCTTAAGCACCATGGTATATGTAAACACTGAAGCAACCTCTCTGTGGGACTGTTTCCTCTGGTTACAGGGCTACTGTCAAGTCTGTGCTAAAGGAGAAAATCTTGTGCTGTTCCACCACTATCCCTTGCACCCCAAAAGCAGTGCTTCCTCCAAACATAAAGCCAGGGCAAGTCATGATTCTTTCATTTCTGTTCAGGTATTACCTGACATGAGCAGCAGCAAGAAGTGATTACAGATAGCTGATGATCAGCCAAGAAACTACAGAAAGGACAGAGCACAGGAAAGTAGCCACACTCTCAGTTCCCTTCCACGGTCAGCTCACTGTAGAAACATGTATGGAAGCTGCCTTGCAATGGCAGACTGCATTCAGACCCCTAGGAAATCTCCTTCAGGACTGTCTTCTGCATGGTGTTACTCAGGGCTTCCTGGTTACTGTGTTCAGATCACTCTGAACAAACTCCTGGTTTGGCTATAGTGACTATTTTTGGTAGTGGTTTTGTATAAGTATTTCAAAGCTGGATTCCCAGGTGTCTGCCTGCAAAGCTTTTACACAGAGCTCCTTAGGCAGTACAATGCTCACTTCTCTCTTCTAGCTGCTCTACTGAACTGCCAGCAATTCACATATCAGGAATTATCAGCAGTATTACACATACAACACTCACAGGAATCAAATAAAATTACCTTTGTTTTTATGCTCTGTCTCTAACATCTAACAGACTCTAGCTGATATTTTTCAAAACAGCAACATACTTTCTTTAGTTCTCCCCTCTCTGCCCCGAAATTATTAAATTACACTTAAAGCTTAACCACTGAGATGCTTGAACACCCCCAGTTTTCTTAGAATCAAACCATCACTATCAGACCTAGTCTGGCTCTGCCAATCTCACCATGATGCTGGCAGCACTATGCTGGAGCTATACATGGAACAGCACAGAGACAACACTGCACTGGTGCCCAGAAACTGCTTCAAAGTTCTATTCAGCATGTCTGGGTAGAGACAGCAACTTCTGAGGCGAGCTTGGGTATCTTTACTGTGACCCTGGATTCAACACAGAGAAGCTTTATTTTTTAATCCTCTATAGAAACTTATGCTTTCAATGTCATGAATGCTTTTGCTCACATTACCCTGCATAAATGCAATTGGATCAAGGTTAGAAATGCTACACACCCTTATAAAGGCAAAAGCTATCTTACCTCCAGAGCATGTGACAACTAATCCCTTTACAGAACACACATACTTCAGTAAAAATATGAAACCCAGTTAAAAGATTTCTTGGAGAGTTTTTTAGATTAACAGTATTGTTGTTTCTGTCATCAATAAAGTACTCAAAGGTACTCAGAATGTGAAGAATATAAGAATCATTTCTGTCAAAATTTGTTTTCTATAGTATGGTTATGTCAGTTTCTGTGAAATAAAATATTTTAAAAGTGTAAATTCACTTTTATTAATATTTGTTTGCTATTGATTTTATATTCAAGTGATTTCAGCACTGAAATGTAGACTTGCAACAGCTGAAAATCTCATACATTTATTATAGCAAAAGGTATATCTAAAAGCATAATCTTTTAAAGTTTCTTAAAATAAGAAAAACAACTCTTGCATTAGATTTCCAAAATAATTGTGGAAAATTAACTCCTTCCTTGGTTTGACAAAAGCCTTTACAGTAATACTTTGTATCAGAAAACATAATTGTTCGTTTTCAGCATCCAAGTTGCATCTCTTCAAAAGTATTCACGCAAAGCACTCTTGCTGAATGAGAAGAAAAGGGAAGTGCAATTCTAGGGACACAACACACCAAGTCATCCCAGTACCTCCAAAAATAATGACAGTTTTCTGACAGTTTGCATTTCTGAGAAGAAACATGTATATTTCATACAGCAAATGTGATTAGCTGAATTACAGTTCTCTAGAGAGCAATGCTCACTGAAATACCGCTACAGCACACATACCATTCTAAATAATGTCCCTGTTTTTCAAATGCAATTTCTTCAAAAAGCTGAATCTACCTGTAACTAAAAAAAATGTCCAATAAAGGATTACATCAATGAAAATGCCTCTAATAAAGAGCCACACCATGGCCTATACCCACTATCACCAAACTCATGAGGTTTACTATACAGAATCTAAATTGTCTCCCTGACTGTACAAAAAAGATGGCTTTATGGCATTTAACAGGATTCACCAACAAAATTCCCAGTCAGTTTAGCAGAGATAATTAGGTCAGAGAAAACCTCTTCACTTGCTCAGTTTCTGTGGTTGCTGTGGCCAAGCATTCACCATTGTCACTTTTTGCTTGTGCTCTGGCAAACACCTCCCAGGAATAAACAAATTCTGAAGCTGGTTAAACTTCCAGCTGATGAAATTCAGCCCACCATAGCCTGTTGTACTGCCATCTCTTCCATCATACGGAATCAGAAAGAATTAGGAAGTGAGGTCAACCAAATTATTCTCACGCTTATCAATGCTGTCCATGTAATGTAAACCTATTCCCAGCATTCCTCCTTTTCTGAACTGCTGACCAGAAATTTCTTACCTTGTTCAACATCAAAGATGATCCCAGTGTCCGTGCTTCTCTTTGAACTTCAATTTCCAACTTCAGTTTGGTTGGGCAGAATTATTACTGTTAGTCTTGGTTTTATTCAACACATTTCAATTCTGAGACTTTTCAACTCTCATGCTGCAACTCCTGCTTTTCCATCTGGAAAACAGTTGTCTTCTTTTTGCTTGTTTGGGTTTCTTTTTTTGTGGGGTGGGGGATGGGTGCCAGAAGCAGTATTCTGCTTCTCTGTCCTAACCAAGATGGAAGTGTTCTACTGTGACTCTCAAGTTTTTATTATTTTCTAAGGTGTAGTACTTCCAGAGCACTGCAAGCACATGTCAGGGTCAAGTTCCAGGAGGTGAGTACCACAAAACCCAGATGAACTGCAATTATTCCAAGCCTGCAGTTCAATTGCTAAAACACAAGCAGTCCCCTCATACTTAAAAAATGAACAAAAACCCCAAAAAACCTACTTGCAGATTCGCTGCTCCAGGTCTTAATGAAAACTAAGTGTCTATTTTTATATTTTTCCTGGCAGATTTACTTCCTACAAGTTACTTCTCTTCTACCTTACTTCTTGCGTTGTGCAGTACCTTAAACAGATCTCCATGATGTCTTCTTGGAAGCAATTTTCTGGTCCCACAGACAGAATGCAGCAGTTTCTTTTAAAGAAACTGATGGGTACATTTGGGTACAACTGATTGCCTTAAAACAAAAATTACACAGCTTTGGGTAAAGAGCCTTATAGAGACTGGTTTGCTTTGAAATATCCTGCCACTCCACTATTTCAGTGAAACAGGGCTTTATATAGGGAATAGAAATACAAGAGATGTGCAAAAAGGTCTCTGAGTCAGTCTGGTTAAAAAGTTTACTTTGGGGAGTTCCAGCAAGCAAAAAGGAAGCATGAAGGTATCTGGAATGCAGCTTCGTCCACAGAGACTCTTCCTAGCATTTACCACATACCCGGTAAATGCAAATGGCTGGAAATGGGGTGGGTTGTGGCTGTTGGCCCCATAAATCACTGGGTGAGACATTTGGATTAAGACACACGTGTCGGAACCCAGGACATTCCTCTGACTTGCCCTGGAGGACTTGAGACCCTGGCAGGGGGCTCAAAGACCTTGGGACAAAGTCAAAAACACCTGTGCCTTCGATTTTAACCTATGGAAACAATTACCAACTTTCTGCAAAGAGTTACAAGCCACAAGGGTTTGAATAGAATGATAGGGAATTTATCACAGGGTGAAAAAGTAGAATTTTGGGGATTTAGAAAGGGGGTTCAAGAGGCAAGATGGAGGAATCTGCCGTGTCCTGTCCTTCTTCTTGTCCTCCATCTTCTGCTGTGATGGTGGCACTTTTGGATTGGTTTAGGGTAGAGACAGACTGTCTAACATAGATGATAGGTATTGGGAAATTATTGTAAATAAAGTACACGTAGTTTTTAGTATAAAAAAGTAACACCACCCCAAGGGCAGTTAGTGTGCCATGAACCGACCTGCCAGACAGACCTCTGCAGGTCCAAAAGAGAATGTATTAGATAAGAGAAAATAAACAACCTTGAGAACCAGAGTTGAGGAATCTCAACTTCTTCAAGCGCAGGGCTGGGAAAAAAGACTCTGTAATACCTCAGGAGCCATTTCAGCAACAACAAACCCGAGACACAGGTACTGTGTATGTACCTTAAAAGCAGTCAGATGGCCTGTGTTACTCTGAACTTGTGGGTTAATTGTAGCAGCTGGGAAAAGAATGGTAACAACCACAGTCAGCAACTTCTGGAGATAATTTTAATATCAAATGCATTGGCATTCTCATAGTACATATGTAAGAAATCTAAAAAGGCAATCCTTTTGTGTTATAAAATCAATTTAGAAAATTGCATACATTACTTTGCTTTTAAATATCTATAAACCAGTCAATCTAAAAAAGAACCAATTGCTTGGTGATAAAATCTAACTTTACCATAAGGAAAAGCCCAAATTGTTTTTCATAAGGGAGCACTGAAAACATTATTCAATTAAGAAAGGTGTAGAGAAAGGGAACACATTTCTGCATTGTATCTTTTGTTTTACAATAAATACACAGATTATTCTTGTAAGTAATGCTGGTGTTGTGATTTAGGTGCTGAAAGACACAACTCTGGGATGGGAGGAAAAGGTGTTGGGAGGCAGGGAAAGAAGGGGTAGTGCCAAACTACAGAATTAAACTAGAAACAAAGACAAAAAACATACAGTCATTGCACGAGGCTGCTCACAGCTATACAGAAGGTAACTGTGCTCAGCAAATTGTTTTAAAATTCTCTCCCCCACAGAAAGAATGCTTTCTGTTTTGAAAAACAAATAAGGGGTGTGACAGTGTTCACAGGGATTCTTGGATGAAGCAAGAGATGAGAATGTTGACTCCATGTTCAGAAGGCTTGATTTACTATTTTATGATATACATATATTACGTTATAACTATACTAAAAAGAAATAAAAGGAAAGGTTTCCTCAGAAGCCAGCTAAGAACAGAATAGAAAAGAATGATAACAAAGGTTTGTGTCTTGGACAGAGAGTCCAAGCTATCTGGTCTGTGGTTGGCCATTAATTGTAAACATTCAAAATGGCCCAATCACTGACACACCTGATGCATTCCACAGCAGCAGATAACCATTGTTAACATTTTGTTTCTGAGGCCTCAGCTTCTCAGAAGAGAGAAAATCCTAAGAAAAGATTTTCACAAAAAGATGTCTGCGACAAAGGGGGAGTGGAGGGGTGTTGGATGACTGTACAGAACCTAAAATAATAACTGGATTTTCAGGAAGCCAGGTTTCAGAGTTGTCTTGAGGGAAGGGGCCCTGAGAATTCTGCAATGACAAAAATGCTTGCATCTTTGGGTTGCCCTCAATTTTTATTTTAACTCTCTGTTGTATTTAAGAGATAGCTTTAAGAGCTCTGGTTTTGTAGACTTTTTTATGACACAAGTGGTTTTGTTGGTTATCTGACACACAGTCCTTCTAAAGGGTAAGATGACACTTCAGTGAGGTTACCGTGGGGAACAGGAGAAAGCATCCTTTTAGAACAGTCACCTTCTAACGTGCAGTGAGTACAGAAAAAGTGCACACATCAAAATGTGATCACTGTTCAAGGAAAAGCTACATCAATACAAATTAAGACAATGATGAACTTGTCCTAGTTTATCAAATCAAGTCTGAGTTCAAACACTCAATATTCAGTCATCTTTACTCAATCCTCCTAAGCAAGGTAAAAATCCTGTTTGTCTTATATGCAAATCCCATATCTTAATGACCTTATTTTTCAGTAAAACGCCTCAGACTTTTGAGGTTGTTAGGCCACAGACTGCTTGCCTTGCTAATGCAGGTGATGCCTTAAGATTTGCAGGAATTATTCCCCAAAATCAGATGAACAGCATTAAAAATCTACTGCCTACACATACTGTATTGGTATCTACTTTGAGAGCAAGTTTGCTTCTAAAATCTGATAAGAAAAAAAAAAAACCTTAAAAGAAAACACACTTCCAACTTTGAAGTATTTCAACAGTCACTCTCAAACAAATGTCTTCCCCTTGTGGAAACACACTTTTATGAAAATGCTAGGAAGGGGGGAAATATTTTTTTTTTAAAAATCATCAAAACTCATGAGCCTCAAATCCTGGCAGAATTTTCTGAAACATGCAGATTACTTCTGTATATAATCAGAAACAAAACAAAAAAATACATCTCTAAAGAGAGTCAACATTAAATCCTTAAAGTAAAAAAATACATAGTATTCATTCTATCTGTATCAGCTGCAAATCAAGAGACATAATACAAGATCCAGATCCTGTCTTCAGGCCTGACTGCTACATGACCATCTGGTGTGTTGTGTCTGTATAAGTTGGACTGTTCTGTTCCCCCCTATCATGCAATGGTTCTGCCCTGGTTCTCCCTTCCCTCCTTTATGCTGCCAGTTATCCCAACTCCTCCCCAGTTGCCTTGGAGATTAATGTACCCTTTCTCAAATCCCTCCCCGGTGCCCTGTCCGTCACTCGGCGCTCTCACCCTTCTCTCTAGAACTCTCTAGAAACTTCCAGCTAGAGCATCGAGTGATTGGCTCAGGGGCTGGGGCTCCACCCTCAAGTTATCCCCATTGGGGTTTTCCCTAAGGCAATCTTTTGTATCCCACTCCTCTCTGAAACCCTATTTGTCCAAGGACTGACTCCTCCCTTGTTTCCCTCCCTCCTTATAAGCCGCTGCAACTTCTCCCTCTTCCTCTTTGGTCGTGGGTTCCCCTGGGACTGAATAAACCTGGATTCACCACAGCTGGAGAGCGCTCTATTCTTATTTCTGCTGACTGTAGCCATAAGCCAAGCCATGTCTTACCACAAGGTCACGCTGCTGTCATAGCACAGAGCGTTTGCCTTAGGTGCTGTCCTGAACCACGGAGATTGGGATAGTGCCCCTGTATTGCTAGCAGTGCTGGATAGCCAGCTGGGACGTCCGAGAAGGACAATCAGTCTTTCTCCAGATGCACCGCTTCAACCATCCCTGTTTATATAGAATTAAAAAGAACAGGCTCCAAAAGACAAAAGTATTTTTACATCCTTGAGACATACCTGTAAGCAGCTTTCATATTCCAAGAACCAACTAGCAATTCATATGCATTAGCTTTAACTTATCATATTTACATTCTTATCTACAACCTTCTCCTTTCCCCCTTCCAGCATCTTTAGACCACACAACACCAGTGAAAAAAAAAAACTTTAAATAAATACATGCTGAGCAAAAAGTACTCCTTGTGCCTTTTTTTTCTTCTTCTCTGCAAGACAGGAAGAGACCAAAGTAAGCAGAGTTCCAGTTATTTTATACAGCAGTATCCTTTGCCAGGACTGCCTTATTAGATTTATTAGCTGCTGCTGCCACTCTGCTGTTGAAAGTGCAGTTGCAAGATCAGGTCTCGAATTTCTTCTCTTTTGTTTCTGATCAGCTGACGAGGGAACCAATTCTCCAGATGCAGTGGTTGTTCAAAATTAACTATGGGATTCTGGTAAGAGAAAAAGGAATATTTATGGTATGAATTTCCTAACACAAGCTTCAGAAAGGATTTCAAACCCTTCCACTACTGCTGAGATTAAGGAGGCACAAACAAGTTTCCATACAAGACTGCCAGCCCTTAAAATCAAATTGCAGTTCCTTCATCATAATCACACATACATGTGTCCTTGCCAAAAGGTACTCATGGTAAACACCAAACAGGTTATCATCACTTCTCTTAAAGATTCATCAGTATTAACTCATATTAAAGGCAGATTTCATGTATTTTGACAAATATATAGCAACTGTAGCAAACTATAGCAAAGAATCAATCTCGTGCGGTTGAGAATCCTGAGATTTTGCTATCTCAAGCATGTGGTTTTTTTGTCGTAAGCAGGTCTTCTGACAGGACAACAAGAAGTAAGAATACTGATAACAGTTTTAGCAGGACATGAGAAGGGGAGAATTTGGAACAAAAGAGAATAGCAAAATGAAATAGATGAAAGGTGCTGTCAGATTTGGTAGTTAAGACTACAATATCACATCTGATTTGCCAAAACCAATTTCTTTTCTTCTTTCCCTCTTCAGTCTTTTGCTATGCTTATATTTTACCTCCTCCTTCCTTTGAATAAAGTAATATATGATAAATTGAAACAGTAAACTTAAGAACACATCATGATTTGCAGTCTGTGAGTCTTTAGGACAATTTACAAAGATCTTGTCTCAAACCTTGCTTCTTCAAGAAGAACAAGACCCCCTTGTTAGAGAATGGGCAGTTCAAAATCTTTGGTAAGTAATTTCATTTTCCCCTACACAAGAGCTCAACCCATCTATTAGAGAACCACAGAATGGTTGGGGATTGAAGGAAATTCTGGAGTTTTGTATCCCCTGCCAGACCTTCCTGGCTTCCAGCAGAGCACCTCTCCTCATTGGGTCACCTGTCACTCAGGTCAGGAACTCTCCAGGAGGCTGTCAGGTTAAAGTCACCCCAAGGGTCCAGGGTCTGTGAATATGAAGCTGCTTTTACCTGTCCAAAGGGGCCTCGTGCACTTGTTGTTCTTGATCAGGTGGCTGACAGCAGATGCCCACTGCTATGTCACCCATGGTGCTCTGCTCTCAGAACCTCTCAGATAGCTCCTCATCCAGCCCTAGGCATAGATCCATGCATTCCAGCTGACCCACATGAATGACAACTCTGCCTCCTTGTGCTCTGTGCCTGTGCTTTCCAAAGAGCCCATATCCATCCACAGCACTCCTGCTATGGATGTACATCCCACATGATGCATCCAATAACATCCCCATGACCTGGACAAGATCACAGCCTGCAACTGCACACAGAGCTCCAATCTCCCCACCCTCCCCCAGTGGGTGTACCTTTGTACAGATGCTTTGGAATGGCAATCTGATCTGTTCTCCTACAGCAGAGAAGCCTGTCTGAGGCTCAAGGCCTCACACAAGGCTCTGCATGCATGGGAATCTCAGGAGAATACAACCACATGCATCAAACAAGAAGAAGCCATTCAAAGGACAGAGCAAAGGGCAGTGTGCTGATCAGGGGAAGGAAGTCTTGGGGACACCCTAAAAAATAGTGCCTGAAGCCCAGGATCTGCAGATATTTAAATGTATGTGCTGGAAAAGAAAAAGAGGCTCCCTTAGCTCTGTACATTCCCTTTTAACAATTTCCCCTCTCCCTCTCTCTATAGAAACTGACTCTACAGAAACAGACCACTCAAAGGCCAATGCACAAGCTGACAGTTTTAGATACTGCAAGAAGAGATTCAAAGATACTTCTGTAACATCTGTAGGGCAGCAGTGCATACACTAATGGGTTCCAAATACATGCAAGTAGTCAGGGATACTGCATGTGTCAATAGAAAAGCAACACTTAACTACAAGGTCAGAAACATTTGAGGATAGACACATATGAGACACCAGACAGAAAGACCCTTGCCATTACTTAAGAATAGGTTTCATCTCCTCTTTCTCAAATTGTTTTGACACTTTTGACACTTAACAGCTTTTTTGTGTCTGGCTATTTTGCTCAGAAAATGGGTTTCTGTGGTTTAAGATAATTTGGGGGAAAGGGGAAGGTAGTTGCATTTGTACCTGGAAGAAGCTTTCCACATACTGCAGCAAATAGACCCCACAATCACTGCTGTTATCTTGTTTAGGCACTCTGGGACATAGGTCAATCATTGTTGATTTACTGAATTCCCGATGTGTTTTTCGTTTTGCTTCCCATTCCACTTCAAGGTACCTACAAAAGAAAGTAAACAGTGGAAATACTTGAGGAATAACTCCCAAGCTCAGTGCCTTTTGGGACACTACTTAACATTGCTCCAAATATCCAATATTCTATTGCACTCAGAGGCATTTCTACATAATAGGCAATATACAAAACATAATGGGCAATACACAAAACAAATATGCATGATATAATTTCAAATCAGCTATTTGTGCAGAGTTTCTATAAGCAATTAGGATACCTGGACATTTTTATACCTTAATTAAAGGAATAATTTTCTTATTAAAACCCCCTTAAACCTCACTTTACAAAAAACTTCAGTAACAATTCCACCAATATAACCCCTGCAATCCCAACAGTGCACAAGGTATTTAAAGACTTGATGAAAACCTTTGGAAAGCTTTTCTATAGTGATTAGAATTTGTTTGTTATCAGGTTTTCTATTGTTCTATGCTTCAGTAGCAACTCACTGACTCCACATTCAGGGTTGGCTGCTGATTTTAGGGATGGGATGGAAAACTTAAGGGTCTGGTTTTCAAAGGCAGTAGTTACCTATATTCTTCTCCTGGCTTTAGTTAGACTTACAAAGTCTAAGGGCTTCTGAAAAGCAAAAATAAGGTCTGACTTAAGAGAATAAATATATGCATTAAGTCAGGTGTTTGATTTCAAACACATGTGTTTGAAATCAACACACGTTTGTGTTTGATTTCTAGAAGTCCCAAGTCCTTGCAGTCATGAGAATAAAAATACATACAGAACACTTAAGCAGCTTTGGGAGGAAATGGCAACTGTGAAAAGGCACCAAATATGAAATAATTCAAAGATGAAGACATTTCAGTGAAGCACACTTTCTAGAAACTGCAAGAACCTATGACTGTAGACTTTCTAATTGGTTTGTTTGAGCCTGACAACTGCCCAAAACACAACAAAAATCAATTCAGGGAAAAGAAGATGCCATAGAATACCTGCATCAATTTCCTTACACTTCTGCTTCCAGGGTGTAACTGGAAATTGAAGGAATAAGAGGTTTGCTTCCCAAACTCCCCTTATCTCACAGTTCCATGGGTCTCCCATTGTTTTCTGACTTTTTGTGACATCTCTCTAAACTCCAAGAAACCACACTCTGGAATTTCAACCTCAGGAGTAGCTCAAAGAATAGTGCACTAAAATAATACATCCCACAGAGATTTTATCAATAAATAAATAAATAGAAGTTGCTATTTCATTCTTTCTCCCAAGACACATGGCAGGGAGATCTCTCTATTTAGGGAAAAGATGGTTTCACAAAAATTTCTAAATCTCATCTAAACTTTACATAGCATTTTGAAGAATTTACTTTTACAAGAAGGTGGTGCTATTTAGTTTACAGATTTTTGTAACTTTCAGTGACAGGAATAGCTCAGAGAACACAAAGAACAATTGCATTTATCTTCAGATATTTAACAATTTTTTTAAGTTGTTGATAGACATTAAAATCATCAGGAGTGTGTAAAAGTACTGAAAGTTTTTATTACATTCTTCCAATACTGACATACTTATGACATACAAAATTGGATATTTACATTTTTCAAAAGAAATACTATCCCACTATAACTCTACTGACACATCAAGCTTTTAGATAGCTTCAGTCTAGTTTCTGCATTTTTGTACATAGGAACATATTTAACACTAATTCTGTTAGTGTCATCAAAAACTGAACATCAGTCCCCTAGAAAATTATTGTTCAGATTTCAAAGTATTCATTTTAAGTGTTTTTCTACCCATAAAAACACCTTCAGTTGCTAGACTAGACGGGATAAATCCTCCCCCCACAAAAACAACATCAGCAAAAACCTCTCTATTTTTTTTTCTCCACTTCACAGTTTTTGCATCATATGTGGGTTGCAAAACATAGAAAAGCTTTTCATGGAAGTGTCTGTATTATAATAAGTGTTTCTTTAGTCATGACTCTTCATGGATTTTCCTTTAGCATTAGAAATATACACCTTTCTAGACAAAAGTACTTTGTATATAAAAATATGACCAGCAGCATCTATTACTAAAAGATAGAAACTGTAGTTACTTACTCTCTCAACACCTGAACAGTTTTCTGCACAGAACATGCTTTCAGGGAATCTAAGATGAGTATACAAGGCCTGTACACAACAAAAACAAAAACAAGTCATTGCAGTATTTCATCACCAACACCCCTGAAGGAAGTATTTTGTTTGCATACAGCCTACCCAAAAATATCAATATTTCAACCAATGTGGTAAAAATTGAGAAGCACCTACAGCTGTGGTTTTATAACAATACCTGAATTACAACAGAATTCCATAATTTAATGTTACAATATCAGAAAGAAAACAGAAACATACCTTTTACAAATCTGGTTTTTGGAATTACTTAGGGAGATCTGAGACAAAGAAAAAATAAAAATAAATCTTAAAAAGCCAACATCAATCATAAACTCTAAGATCTTCATAAATTTAAAGTTAGAGAAGGTCTCATTTCAGAAAAGTAGAAACTGATAAATTAATTTTAAAAACAGCTGAAATCACAGCAGAGCAAATAGATAAGCACAGGAGGATGCTAATTCAAAATGCATTGCACATGCTGCAGGCTAGACAAACATCAATAACTACTGGAAAAATGATGATGCAATATCCCTTGGTCAAGTCTCACAACCTTCAGAAATTCAGTAATATATTTTCTCTGCCAATACAAAAGGGCACTTACTTTAGAAATAGCTGAATATAGAACTGAAGCAGAAGCAGCAATTTCATTGCGTCCTAGTACAAAAGAAAAAATAAAAATAATTTAAGAAAATAATGCCTAAGCAAGGTATTTTTATTTTCAAGTTCATGATTATTAGTATTCAAATACATTCAAATATGCAAGTAACAAAACAATTTTTAAACCAATTTTTAACATTCCCTTCTGAATCCTAAAATAGCAATTACCAAAGGTCTTCCCTCTTGATAAATTCTTACTGAAACCAAAATTTCCAATCACTCCTGATTTTCCATGTTTCTTCCAGTATTCTCCAGAGTTGCAGAAATCTTGCAGCCCTTACTACGCATGGGTACATAAAAACATACTACATTGGTCTGGAAATTTTAGAAATCATCTTTCACAAAATTTCCCTCCTCCAAGGACTAAGACACCTAGAACTGTTCATGGCTCAACATAACTTTCTCCTAGATTACTTACCTTTAGAGAATAAACTTCTGTTACCATCCCCCTCCTCTTCATCCCTGCAGAGCACTGAGCCAGCTCTGGTGCTCTCACTCTGTGGCTCCAGGGGAGACTGCCGAGGCCGGGGGGACGGTGAATTCTGCTGGGGACACTCCTCATACACAGCTTCTTCCAACCAAGGAAAACAGATAACTGCCATGTACCAATGAGACCTGCACCCAGCAGTGGGGAGAGGGAGGAAAAGATGTCAGAATTCTGAACATTTGGTTCTGAAAAGGCTATGAAAAGCTTTAATAATATTGAGAGCTCATGGACAACTGTTCTGTGACACACAACCATCATTGCCATGTTCTTTTCATGGCTTCTCATACTAATCCTCTCCCTCATTTTTTACTTTGCATTGTGGCATAACAGCAAAAATAAGTATCAATTCCTTTAAAAACCCCAAGAAACCCACCACAGCAATTTATCAATTTGAGCACCCATTCCACACTTCAACTAAAATCCAAAATAAAAAAACACTAATAATCAGTAATGGTGATCCCAGTTTTGAATATAGCTGAAGATGTGGCACCCTTCCAGGGATGTTTTCCATTATGCACCTTTCAATGATGATTAAATTTTACAGGAGTTTCCATGTACAGGTCGGTTATTTAACCAGGCCAAGGCACAGATTATGGAAGTTCTACTTTTATCTATTGACACTATGAGTTGCTGTGATTTCTTTATAGAAATATTGCTGAAGTGCACAGGAATCACCATAATGACACACAAATTATTCTGAAAAATACCTAACAGTAATTTTCAGTAAAACAAATACCAAAGGTACAAAGTTGACAGCTGAATAAGCATTTTATCTTTTGAACAGTTTTCAAAAATTACTCCTTCCACTTGTATTACTTCTTCAAAATCTAATCTATCATGGGCAATGATCAGCCATAAAATTTTACCACCACAACTGAAATCTTTAAATAGCAGAAAATGTGTTGAAAACATAGACTTACTCCTCATTCACAGGCACAAAAATATAATCTTTATTGAAGATATTTATATGGCGAGTCCATGTTCTTACTCTTCTGTGTCTTCTCTGTGCTGCTCTGAAAAAAAATGACAATTGTTGTTTGGCTTTGTTCCTTTCACTTAAGGCAAGGCATAGGGATTAGCACTCCTATATCTCCTCCCCCGTCCCTCAATGGGTTTTCCATTTCTTCTAGAAATTTCCTAGACAGGTTAAAAATAAATCAGCACACCATTGAGCACAAGTGACTAATGAGCCATTTCTGAACCATTTTAAGCTCTTCTTGAAAAAAAAAAACCACAATCATTCATAGATTTGAATGGATTTCTTGCAATTATTGTTTACTGCACTAAATGCAAAAACCTCATCTAAATACCAGTCAGTGTAAAAACAGATCTATAATTTAAAATGTCCACTAATTAAGCTTCACAAAAGGCTTCTGAAGGCCTATCTGAACAACTGTTTTTGAAGGGAAAAAGCTAAATGCCCTGCACAGGGTCATGCAGCACACCTGCAGCAAACACAGAGGTGAAACACATGCCTTCCAGTCCTGAGATTTAAATGCTGCACCACACTTCATTTCCAGCTCTACAGAAAAAGCATGAGGACAAATATGAGGAGAACAAGAAAAACAGAGAAGATATTTAAGTTTGGATTTTCAGCCTAGTTTGCACAAGTTGAAATAGAAACTAACATTTCACAGAACTTTGCTCCAATATGAAAGTATAATTCACTCTACTCAGCAGACATCCTTATTATCATTGTGATTCCATCCTCATCTTTGATTAAGAAACACAACTTCAGAGTAGTAGGAACTGGAGAAAATGAGTATGGAGTGGAAAACCAGGCTGGTGTAGGGCTCTGCATGGGCCAGCTTTAAGTAAAGATTTGCTGTAAGCTTCCTCTGCTACATGACTGTAGCAGCACTGGGAACTTCAAAGGGAAGCCCTGTTTATAACTTGGGAAAGCACCTATAAAAGCAACTTTCTCAATCCAGTGCCCGAGCTGTGTGAGCAAAGTGAAGCAAAGGGTCTTTAAGTAGCCACATCTGTTGGGATTCATTTAATTTACAACAGTAAATAGCCAGGATTTTCACTAGCCATTTATTAAAAAAAAAAAAAAAAAAAAACAAAAACCCAAACACTGAAACAAACTAACATCCCAAACCATCTGCAGTCACCAGGTATCTAAGCCCAAACACAAAACTAGAATTTCCAAAGCTATCTCCTTGTCCAGAAAAGCCACAGTCCTTGAAATATGATAAACTAAGAGTGCCATTCCTGTTGCTCCAGAAGATTATGGACAGTCCAGCCTTGTAAAAGGAATCAGATCAAGGCACAACAGCATTCTTATAATGGATAATTTTGTCCTCACTTCAGAACATTCAAAGTCAGAAGACAGTAAAATCATGGAAGATGTTCTTTCAAACACAGATACATGAATTTTCAAGACATCTTTGAGAATATTACAGAAGTCTCACTTTTCTTCCCTTCAACACAGCTTTCACCCAGCAGTGACTGTCCCCTAAACAAGATGGCACACACACCTCTCTGTGCAGCTGGCCTTGTTTGCCAGAAGAATGAAAAATCTGGGGACTTCAGGGATAACAGAAGAAAAAAAATAATCACTTCAGAGAGAAACAAAAAAGCCTTCAATAAACTGAATGATGATGCTTATTGATCTCTCTAACAACCTGGATGGTTTTAGTGAGGTGGGTGTCATTCTCTTCTCCCAGGTAACAAGAAACAGGACAAGAGCCAACAGGCTCAAGTTGTGCCAGGGAATGCTTAGATTGGATATTAGGAAGATTTCTTCACCAAAATGTTTTCTAAGGACTGCAACAGGCTGCCCATGGAAGTGGCTGAGTCACCAGGCCTGGGGGTATTTAAAAGACACATAGATGTGGCATTTGGGGTCATGGTTTAGTGATGGACTTGGTAGTGCTGGGTAATAATTGCTGGACTCAATCTTAGAGGTCTTTTCCAACCTAATAGATTCTGTGGCTCTGTGAAAAAAGAATGAATGTTGGTGGCTTTGCTCTCAAACATCACTGTTGAGAAGAAACTGGAAGTGAGTTAAGAATGCTTCTACCCTTTAGGCAGTTAGCAGGAAACATAACATGATACAGGGTTCCTGGGCTGCTAAAAATATCCTTTTGGGAGACTCTCCAATCCAGTGAGCTCATGTGTTAAAAAACAAATGTGTAAGCTTGGTGTGCAATAAAATTTTCTTACTAAAACTCTGGTCAATAATTTTTTACCAATATGTAAAATGAAATATACAGTAAGTATAAAAATATTATCAGTAACATAATTTCTTTAAATTATGCATGTCTTGCAAAACTGTGGATTTATGATAAAAATATCAAGTAAATAATTGCCTGAAGTAAATATTCAGAAAAAGTTGGAGAAAGGTGTTAACATTTTCATTCATATTCAGTATGAAACACATTGATTTTAAGGAAAAACACCAGTATGTTTAAATTGTGAGTTACAATATTTAATCACTAATCTCTTGGAAAACACCAAAAAACTATTTTATGTACTGATTAGTAGATGATCTCCAAAACTTCAAAGTGGCACCAATAGATAGATTGCTTCTGGTCATAATGGCATCTGTAATGAACTTACGAAACTTTGACATCCCCCTCCGAGTTTTTTTCTGTCCTTGTCAGGCACTTGTAGAAGAAACTGCTAAAAATGTGTGTACGGTCAGCAACATGTTTTGGTGCCTTCTCCAATAACAGATACCTGCCAAAGAAGAGACCAAAATTATTAAATTATTTTTCTAGAAAGCACTGTTACTGCTAAAAAAAAGGGCAGTTATTCTAATGACTTGTCATATTCAGGTTATGCTTAAAATCAGTTGCCTTCACAGCCAGTAATCACACCAGACTTTTCTATTTTAACTATTCACATCATCAGAGTATGTAACAGCCAAGCACCTACTAAGAATGCAGTTATTTTTTGTCCCTGATTTTTTTCTCCAGTACTCAGACTTCTGACTTTATTTTGAAAGTTAGGTACCTAGCCCTTACAATTAAGAGAGACTTGAAAACCTAACCAAGTATAAACCTATGGAATGCTATACTTGTGCATATTCAAAAAGCATGGAACAGGTCAGTTAAATTGTCCATTTCACTTTTGCAGGTTATGCATGTGAAAGCTAAGTACCTATTGCTTCACTGCTGATAATTTTATAATAAACATCACCTTGAGAGTTTATTCTGTCACTCTAGCCCTCATAATTGCAGTTATCCTACACAAGGTACCTCCAGCTTCACTTGATGAATTGGGCAACACAGTCATACATGACATTGCTTGCAAAAGAATAAAAACAGAATGCGGGAAGTCTTAACAAATTATAAAAGCAGAGGGATTTCTATAACAATCGCATTAAGTCATTTTATTTAAATCTTCCATTTCTGTTGAGAAGCTACAACTATTCAGAAGACCATGATGCATCATTTAGTTCTAGTTTAGAGCAAAATAGGAAGGGCTTTGCTGTAAAACCCCATAGAAACAATGTTACACACTTCCTTTTCCTATCTTCTAGACAAGTCTTCCTATTACTCACAGTTCTTACACCCATCTGGATGCCAAGTGAAATGCAATTCCTGCTGACAAGCTTCAAAAGAACCAGAATTCTTCTTAGACCTATGTCAGCAGCGTGAAAATAAAACACAGCTTTAGGGACTGGTGGATACAAGGCCAGTTCTTGAAAAATTGCTTTCACAAGCAACTTTAGCAGGAGGGCTTGGAGTAGCTAAGCCAAGCACAACCTCCTCAAGCTGTGTTCCTTTCTGCAGATCAGCATCAGAAGAATACCTGAAATTGCACAGCATAGCAGGGGATGCTCCACTTCACGCAAACTTAGTAAATAAAACACTACTACAGACCCCCTACTTTTTTCAACTGCCTACATGGCACTTTCTCTTCTGTAAGGTCACCAAGAAGCTTTTTTAGTCCTGTTATTCTGTCTGGATTTTATCACAGCCCTTCAGAGGGACAAAACCAATGAAATTAAAACAAATGAAACTGCTAAGAACAAAAAATCTTTTTTAAAAAGTCCAATGTCCAATTCATCACATTGTTACTTCTGAAATTGTTGTACTTAGTGACCAACATTTCCAGTACATTCAAGTCCACAACATGCCCCAGAGAGTGTGAAGGATACAAGAAAGGCTGAGATGACTTACTTAAGATAGAAATCAATGATGACATCATTGAGAAACTCTCCATATTCTAAGCACTCTAGGTCTTCTCTTGTGACTCCCAGTCCTCCTTTTGCAGGTGGGGGTGGATAAACAATTAAACTAGAAAACAAATTGTATCATATAACAGTGACAAACTGTTTTATGTGACATTGCTCTGAATTTGGCTGTCTTCTATGCAGAAGATTTTCTAGAAAACCTGAGGAAAGCAGTAGTTCTAAAAACTTTACCGTTTTCTCCTCCAATATTTAGGTGTTACAAAAAAAATATCACCCCAAAGCACCCTGAAATTTTGATAAAAACTTTTGAAAGCAGACTATTTTCTGCCTTCATCCTGTTTTTCTATTTTTGATCAAAGTATTTGAAAAATCGCTATACAAAATGTGAAGAAATACTAGAGGACAAATGGTTATAAAAAGATTGAGTGTGACAGAACAGTAAAAGAACACTTTGTTCAGATTTTATAAAAAGCTGGCTTAAATTAGTAAGTTTTGCTAAGATAGACTTAAATGGATACTGACAGAACCCGTGAGATCCCCACTCTCTCTGTTGATGCACTCATGATATGACCTTGTAGTCATAGAGCAGATTTGCTCAAATTTCATGCTATAACACATCCATAATGTCTTTTAACAGGTAACTACACTGATATTTGCTGATATTTTCAATTTGAAGAGTGACTTTCATACAACACTTTCAAATGACCTAGAGAATGGCAGATAAGTAAGGGCTTTTATTCCAGTAATTAATTTATTCAAATTCTTGTATTTTCCCTTTCTCATTCATATGAAATACACTTACTTCTTAACTGCTCCCATTTCTCTTACTTCTTTCCATTCTTCATTCAGTGCAGAGGACAAAGAGATACAATAGCAGCCACTATTCTGCTTATTTGCAAGAGCATAACTGGGCCTGATCACTTTTAGCTTTGATTCCTACCAGAAAAACACAAACAATTGTAAAAAGCATTATACAGCTTGATACATAAAACACAAGACACAAAATCCAAGCCTAAAAACCCCAGGAGTACCCTGCATCACTGAAGAGGATTCTTGCTGGAGATCCATAGTATAAACTTTGATATTTGGGCAAACATGCCACTGTTCAGACAAATAAAAAGTTATGAATATTTTAAAAATAATGACAGATCTTAGTTCATAATAATCTCTCTAAAACTATTCAAGTATTATTTAGCCAAGTGAACCAGGAATGGTTTTGGAGAAGAAACATAAAAGAATGGAGACAAGTGTCAGACTGTCTTTCAAGGATCTGTATATGCCTGGAAGATTTGAAAATCTAGTCCTTGAAGAATTTGCCTAAAAACAATACATATTTGAGCTGGCTGGCTTCCTTTTAAAGTCCCCAATTTCACGGACCTTGCAGATTGATCTGCGATCTCTTGGCTTTTTACTGGTGCCAACAAAGATATGTAATTTCTGTGTGACAATGACGTGGGGCTGGGTTTAGACAGTTCCTCAAGAGATTAAACCAAGACAACACATTAACTTGTACAGACTCATCTCCCCAGCAGTCTGAGGAATAATTCAGCATTTTCAAGCTGTGGAGTACATCTAAAGGTGTCTGGAGGGCCACCTACACAGCTCCTGCTCTGCTGCACTTCCAGTTCAACCAAAAAAAATGGTTCCATTACTCATTATTTGATTAACTTCCTGCTTGCTGCCCTAGAGACACCACAAGGGCAGAACACCCCTGTGGTTCTAAATTTACACAACCATGAACAGATCTAAAGCACTGGTACTTGCCACTTACTGATGAGGTCTATAGACTATCCCTCTATGAGCACAATCTAGCAGACTGCAAATTTTGGAGTAATCCTGACTGGGATTTTTGATATGAATTATGGAAGAAGGCTGACCTAAAATTTACTCAAATGTATGAATGCCAAGCAGTGGTAATGAATAAAGCAGCAGCTATCCACTTACCTGAATTACAGGCTCATGAGCATCTGAGGTATTCTCTTTTGGCAGGCATTGCTTTAGTAGATCCTTATTGCAACTCACAAAAGAGCTTTCTTCAGGAGAAAGATCCTTAAACAAGGGTAATGCTTGTTTCAAAGACAAAAACTCAGCAAGATCTGGTGCTCTGTTCCTCTTGCTGACACCTGTAATCAGTTCAGTCAGCCTCTCTTCTTCCCATTCTGTGAGTGGCTGAGACATTTCCAAAAATACAAATTCATTGGATTTGGCTGGAAAAGGGAGAGAATGGATAATATTAACTATTAGATTAAATTATAGAAACTTTTCTGAACACCCACAAAGGAACTAAGAGAGACAATGGCAAGAGGGGAAGCCCAAACAATGCCCTGCCAGGTTCATCACAGGAGCCATCAGCCTGCAGAAGTCCCACTTTCACAGCCCAGAGGAGCACAGCAAAATGGCAGGTAAGAACCCAAATTACAGGCTGAGCAAGAGACAGATAATCAGGGCTGTCCCAGAGCTGTCCCAGGAGAGTCTCAGCCCAAGGGTCCAGACCCAAAACCCATCACCATAAGTCAGTGCCAGAGCACTTTTTGGACTGAAAGGGGGTTGCTGCTGGGGTGTACAGCACACATGATGGGATGCAGGGGAAGAGTATTCTGGGATTGCACAGGAATCCCAAAGGATTGTTTAAGGAAAGACCTAAAGGCAGCAAAGAGGGACATTCAGGTAATTTAAGGAAGAAGCAGTATGGGCAAAGAAAAGGTTAAGGGCATAAGAAGGACCAGTCACATTTAAACACTTTGCTGGTCAGTGCACTTGACTGGCCATACCATGAGCATAGGCCAGCACAGCCTGTCCTGTCTTCCTATTCAAGTCCTTTCTAACTCTCCTGGCTGAGAAACTACTCTGACCCCTCTCAGGCTGTCAGATGCACCACAATACATTTTCCAAATATATTTGCAGCAGAGCAGAACCATAGTAACCATTTCCACAATCTACAAAACCACGACTGATTTTTTCAACAAGTCTCTAAAAACACTTCAAAACAGTCACATTACTATGTAAAACTAAAAGGTGTAAAACAATCAAACAGAAATTTAATAAAAATTCCTCATGGTTTCTCCAACAAGAATGTAACTAGTGCAAATAAACGTAATATTAAAAGATGCCTTGCATCTTCATACTCACATTCCATTTATTTCACTGGGAACTGTATCTACAGAAGGTGCCAGTAGCTTCAATAAACTTGCATCAACTAAAGGGAGTTCTCTGCTAAAATTTTATTCATTATTTTGCTCCAAACTACTTGTACTCCTTATGTAATGCTGCCATTACTCATAATTTTTCTTCATAGAGGAAGTGACTATTAAATGTCACACAGACAATGCTAACTTCCTATTTTACGTAAGCAAAATCGTTGCATCTATGAAAATAACCTTGTACGATTGTGCCACTCTGAATGTGTGAGCCAAAGTTATACTCTATGTTTTACAGAGCATGCTCTATTTTTTTACAGATCTTCATGCTGGAAAACCAAATACAAGGAGTCAATAATACCCAAAGATTAAACAGCCCATTTGGCCTTTTGTGGAAATTTTCTTCAATAATAACCAATGGCTCACTGCAGTCTTGTCAAAGGTCAAGTCAATCTTTACTTGCCAAGCCTTTTGTATAGCACAGACAATATTCAAGAGTAAGGATATTTAACACATCCATATATTTTAAAGGGAAAGATGCTTTGTACTCAAGTCTAGTTTCAGAAGGCCTTCTGACAGAGACTACGATTAAATTGCTTTGATGTCTTTTTATTAAGCAGCAGTAGTTTATTAAGTAGCAGCAATTTTGAATCACATAATATTAGGGTTTTTTCTTCCAAATAAAAGTACAGTGAAGCACTTTAGAAATGCAGAAGTAACCACCTTATCTACACTGGTACAGCCTCACCTTGAGTACATGTATGCAATTCTAGGCATCACAATATAAAAATGACATTAAGCTATTAGAGAGCATCCAGAGGAGGGCTGCAAAGATGGTAAAGGGTCTTGAGGGGAAGTCCTACCAGAAGCAGCTGAGATCACTTGGCTTGTTCAGCCTGCAGAAGGGGAAACAGGGGAGACCTCATTGCAGTTACAACTCCCTTATGTGAGGAAGAGGAGGGGCAGACACTGATCTCTTCTCTGTGGTGACCAGGGACAGGACCCACAGGAATGGCCTGAAGTTGTACCAGGGGAGGGTTGGATATTAGAAAAAAGCTCTTCGCCCATAGGGTGGCTGGGCTCTGGAACAGGCTCCCCTGGGAAGTGGTCTGAGCACCATCCTGACAGAGTTCAAGGAGCATTTTCACAATGCTGTCAGGCACATGGTATGATTCCTGGGGATGGCGCTGTGCAGGGACAGGAGCTGGACTCAATGTCCTTCCAACTCAGTGTATTTTCTCATTCTGTCATCTTTAAAACACTATAGGCTTTCCTCTGCATTCAAAAAACACAGCTGTAAAACAACCACGTTACTGACATGACCTTTTCATTGCACTTAAGGAAAGCAATTACTCACATGGCTGGCTGGTAACTGACTTTCCCATCTGGGTTTCAATCTTTTCTACATAATCCACAGACAACCAAAGAAAAATAATTGTTGAAGAACAGCCACCACCACTTTTCCACCAGCCAAGTCTTCTCAGATCCAGTGTATCCAGTGTAAGCTGAATGTTCTTAAGAGACACTGTAGAAAACAGAATTCAAAAAAAACATACTTTTAACAGCCACAGATAGAGTAATACATGTCACAGTAATTACATGCTGAGAGGTATGACTGGAGTGTATGAACACAATATTTATAGATTTTATTCCTTGCATTACATTATATACTGAGAATTCAATATTTAAGTCAGCTACATCAAGCTGTGTAAAACAAAGCTATCAAACTGTAACACAAAAATCTAAACACCTGCATGCAGGATTCTTCCTGGAAAAAAAATTGGTTTTTTTTGTCAAAATAACCACAGTTAATGCCTACAACTATGGAAAAAATACTGCAAATCATTAATTCCCATTTGCTTTAAGTCAAGTCAACTTAAAACTGCTCATTAACCTTTTCCTACCACACATCATCTTGGAAAATCAACTGAATGCAAATCCATCATTTTATTTCTTAGCTTTAGTCTACTCATAATTTTTTGTAAACCTAAGGATCTATAATGCTAATTTGAAAAGTTCAACATTTCACCTCAAAAATATGCATAGTCATATCTACTACAGTTCAACACCTAAAATATGCAGGAATATGGGAGGCATGCCATTAAAACTACAAATTCACCTTAAAAGAACAAGAAGCTGCTAAGTTGTTAATGCCTACACTATAGACACCTAAACTTTTATTTACTGAAAAACATAAAAAATTAAAAACTAATATCTTTGTGAAAGATTATAAATTATTGATAACAGAAATACACTTAGTGTTTTAGTGCAATACTATAAAGATGCAATTAAGAAAAGGCTAAAGAAAATTCTCTTACCCTGAAATGGGATCACAATATTTTTCAGTGTAAACTGAAATAAGATTTTAAAAAATATAAATTAGTTTGCATTTTACAAAATTATTAAAACAATATATGTATTTTTAAACATCTGCACATCTTTCCTTACACTGAAATAAACTGAAAATAATATAATAGAATCATTCAGTTTGTAAAACACCATTAAGCTAATGTCAAATATGCGTTGTGAAGTTTGAGACTTCACATTGCCTATATCACCTAAAAACATTCTTAAAGGCATTGCAGAACCTAAATGACAGCAAGTAACTTTCAGAGATGAAAGGCACTGAGAAATAAGCACCAAGTTGCAAACTGCCTATAGGCTCCTTAAAAAGAAAAGATGATCACTTGGGACAGAAGGAGGTAAAGCAACATATGAGAAGCTGTCAGATTCACTGCTTGCAGTAAGGGCACGAGAGAAGTGGTTCAACTTTATGCTGCTATTTCTTTATACTAATCTTTTGAATTAAAGGCCTCTAAAGATTCCACTTGCACTGCTGCTACATTAAAGAGACTTTGCTAAATGAAAAATGCTTTATGGTCACTTTGACAAAAGGTTATACATATTAACATATTTTCCCTGTGGCACCACAGTAGGCACAAAGTTGTGTTTCCCAAGGAAAATTTCTACTTAAGAGCATTGATCATAAATTTATTTCAACTCATCCTTCAAATTATTAATTTAGAAAATTTCCATGAAATGTTTTTGTAACTGCTGTTTTGTGAGATGCTGAAATTGTTATTACAATCCAAGATTTCACAATGTCTTACTGAAGGCAAAAGATATGTAGGTTCAAACATCTTTTTCAGTTGCAATATACAGAATGAACCTGGTCAAAGACTGGTTGAAACTCCTGGAGCTGGTGCTCCACTTAAAGAACATCTTCATTTATGTTTCTACACCCTGTGAGTAGCTTATTGGCTACACACTAAAGCTTTTAGTATTGTTTTTATGCTCTCTGAAGCCACAAAGCAAGCAATTTTCTGTTTAAAAGGAAAGAGCATAGTATATATCTGAACTCTGATCATTATGGATTACTTTATTAGAACACAACTAATATTTCTGAGTAAAGTAATTGGTCTTTATTTTAAGTGATATTAATTGGCCATTAATTAGGCCCTTGTTTTCTGTTAGAATTCATTAAAAACTTCCTCAGTATGACTTGTGTTCCAGTACAGCATTTATACAGAACCTTTACACATGAAAACTGTGGCCACAGCAAATCACAGTCAGCTTTTCCACTGACAGCAATTCGAATGCACAAGGCCACATATTCCATTGTTTAGCCAAAGGAATTTAATGCAACAGTAATAAAAGCTCTGTGCTTCTACACTAAGTACCAATGACTTTGTTCAACCAGAAATTTAATTTTTAAATATTCACAAAATAGCATCATAGAACAACTTACCCTAGCAGGACCGGTTGATAAACACTTAAATTTCCCAATGTGTAGTCTATCAAATTCAACATTCAAAGCCAGGTTTGTCTGCTTTTTAGGTGTGCTTCTAGAAGGTAACCTGAGAGGATATTTATCTTCAACTGACTCTGTTAAAAACTGGAAAAAATTTGTATTTGTTAGATATGCCCCTCTTGTAACTTCAGGAATACCCTTCTTCATGGTTGTAAGAATTGACTCCCAAAGCCAGCTTCCACATTAAAAAATAATTTTAAAAAGCTCCAAGTGTTATTACATTCATTACTGACAATTTCCTTAAGGGTCTAACAGTACCTTGCTTCACCTCCATTACCAAGACACGATCTCTCATTTGGTTCCAAATTAGTAAAAACTCAAACAACAGAGCAACAGCTCTGCTTCACAGCAGACCTTCAGGATCCAATTCAGTGCTTATGACTGAATTGATTCACCTGTGAGAAGAGGCAGCAATGGCTCTTCTGACTTGTTTCAGGATTACAGAGATAACCCATATCCAGGTCAAAGCAAGCAGCCAAAGACTAATCAAGTCCAAAATAGGGCAAACAACCTTTATGGCTACTTTTAAATTCAAGTTCTACAGCTAGCCCAACAGGAAGGGGAACTCCACTTTATCTCTGCCTGCTGTCAACAAAGATCCTGAACTTCTCTAAGCCCTGAATTAGAACAGAGGATTGGATGACAAAAAAATCTATGATCACCGTAGAACAGTGTGTGGAAACAAATTCTTCCACAGATGTATCTTTATCATGTCTGTTTCTGCCTCAGGTTACTATTTGATCTTCCTGTTTTCTGAAATTAAATATTTCCAAATGTTTATTATCAAAATAGGAAATACATTGTGTGTAGCAAAAATACCCAAGAGAACCAGAGGAATTTCAGAACCAGAGAAATTCTTTGAAGACTGTCCAGTATTCTATCTGTGAAATAAATTTCTGCAGCTTCTGCTTGTGGCTGGGACAATAATAAACAATAATTTTCTATAACAAACATTACAGAAATAAATTGGCATAACAATACATCAGCCAAAAACTGGACTACCTGCTCTGTGTGACTTTTTGTCTTGTCTTCTAATTGCTTAGCTGAGAAACAGAAGTCAGACTGTGTTTCTTTATTTTCAGTGATATTATCCTTCATCAGCTCTGTGCATTGTGGTTCAGAAGGTCCATCTTCATCATCACTGGAAAGGATAACTAAAAAGGAAAAAAGAAGTATACATATACTACAAAGTACAGGCTTGTGAATATTTCATTCCTTGTGGATTTCAGACAAGTAAAGAATTCTGACTTGCAGTACATGATATCAAAGTACACTGCTCAAACCAGTAAAGATCTGCATGAATGGAATTGTATGCAACAAGTAGTGCTCTGTATCTTTACAAACACCTTTTGTACCAGGTCCTCAAAATTATTTGGCTATTAAATGAAATGGACACAGCACAGCTGCTTCAAAGAGAGAGTATTTTTTCTCAGTTTTAGCATCATTAAAAAGTAAAAGCTGGGTTTTTCCATAGCCACAAAATCAGCTGGAAAAAGAGGATTGGAATTCAAGAATCTTGCTGTCCATCCTGTTTCTCAGATACAAGATTCTGACACTAGGCACTGTTCTCTAACCTGCACAATGCATTAAAAACAGGATGGCTTCAGTCTTGTGTTCCCTCTGTCTCAACTAGCCAGTTATGCTCGAGTTTAGCAGCTAAGTGTACCACCAGGAATTGTCACCAGCACAGACACAGTACATACTTGGGTCAATGGAAACAAGGTGCTGATTACCCCTGCAGATTCTGTTCCGCAGCTTGCTCAGGTACTCTGATTTGTCCAGCTTTAATTTCCTGATGGTACCAGCTTGTGGGGAAAGCACATCCCCACTGGTGGCAGAAAGCTGTTTCTTTGACACATTTCTGGAAGGAGACTCTGAGGCAGAGTCCTCTGTGTGGCAGTGAGCAGGCCTTAAGTGGTTGTGGGTGGAAGTGTCTTTAGCATCTCTCTCTGCTGGACAGTCTGGCACCAGAATAGGATTAGATCTGTGGTCTTGTCCATCCTCACAGGGTATTCTGCAGCCAGGAGACTGAGCTGAACTCAAACTTTTCTTTTCCTAGAAACAGGATTCATCAGAGACAGGATGTAAGTTTATTACTTGACATTTCTAGATGGTTCAGATCAGTAATCACTGATATTAGCCATGTGATAGAAAAAATAATTATAGCTTAACACAGTGACATTGAATGCTCAATTCAGGATAATTTCTCCCCCCTCATATTCCAAAGAGCATTATTACAATCTTTTAAAAGGCTACAGTGACCCCTATTCAAACTGAACAAGGAACTATTTCTGATTTTTAGCAGCTCTGTCAGTGTCAGACATGGAGAGGCCAATAATCTGTGCTTTCCTTACTTTCCAAAAGTGTGACTTGGAAACTGGTTTTACAGGTTTGATAACTGCCTGTCTCTGTAGGGTTTAAATCAGAAGGCTACAGAGATGTCTTTATTGTTTATATTCAAATGCTTGAATATAAATCCACTTTGTACTCGACTGATTCCCTCAGTCTTATTTGTTGTTTTTTTTCAAATCCTAAGGATGGGTAAGAACAAAACTTCAGGGAAAAGTACAATAGACTAAGGAGGAAGCAAAAAGATGACATCTGCAAGATTTCAATAACCTTAGGTATATTTGGCAGTTTTGCTGTTAATGCCCCTAATTAGTCCCAAATTCTAGATCATCTGTGAAAGAATCTTCACTTAAGAAGCTAGATGCCTTATTTTCAAAATTGTTTGAATCTATGCTCCTGCCTGAAGGAAACACTGTCATTCATCTTTCTCAACCTTTCTGCTACAATAAGCAGAATGTGATGATGTGGACAGAAGAACATTGATTCATTCCTTGTGATGCATCACTGAACTAATTTACCTCAACAGGTAATATCTGCTAATATACCTGTATGATAAATCCCATTTATGGCATAATCCTTTTATTTGGGATGTTGCTACTGCTGCTATGTTACTATGTGTGAATATGTGCTAAAATTAAGTGCAACTTACAGAGAATGCAAGTGACTTTTGTGGAACGTGTGCATTACAATCATCAGAAATATGGCCACTGTATCTTCTTTTCCTTTTCTCAGAAACAAAAGAACCTGATTCCTTCTGACTAAGAGTAGTGCTGTTCATGTGTCTGCTCCTCTTCTCCAGTTCACCACAGTGCTTGTTTTCTGTGTAAAAAAAAAAAAGTAATTTGACATATTATCCTTAAAAACCTTTACATTTCTTCATATTGTTTATGTCTTATATAAAATGCATGGAAGCAGGTATAATAAGTTTTCCACAGTAAGCTCTTTCCTTTTTTAATTGTATATGGCTGCCAAAATATATACCCCATTTTTTTTTTTTGCATAATTAGTCAAGGGTATAACCAAATTCATAGATCCCTTCCAAACAAGATTTAGCACTTTATACTCCACAATCTTTCTTTATCTTCTGCCAAATGCAATATTCTCAATTTCCTGTTCTAATCTGCAAATATTAGTAGCCAGCATAAAAAGACAGCACATTATCCCTGGAGAATGTGCATAGAGGTCATAATTCTTCAGCAGTGAAAATAAATATCATCTAGCAGGAATATTTTAGCAGGGTTCACAAACTATTTGAGCATTCTTAATGGATTACATTCTTTTATAATAAGACTTTTTTGGAAAATCAAGATTATAACAGTGCAGTGAGGCGGTACTCAGTCTAATTTTTCTTCCACAGATTTGATTCACCATAGTTTTTATTATCATTTAAAACCAGGCATCTGATATATTTTTACTGTATGGAAACACAGACCCTGCGTGCAACACTTCAATTTATTTCTGTGCTCCTCTCATAATACTAGATTAAAAAAGGAAAATATCCCAACAACCTCCAAAATTCATACTTAACTACCAGATGACTGCTAACTACAAACCTTTCTTCTGCAGCTCTCGTCTTCTGAAAGTGACAGCATTGATTTTTTCTGGTTCCTTAGAAGCCTTGGTCAATTTACACAGCTCATCATCTGTCTTTCTCAGGCAACGTTCAGACCTGTAAATAATATTAACTATGACTTATCTTTAATTTTGAAATAATACTGAATAAAAATCCCAACAAAAACAAGAGTTGATCAGACTGCAAACTTCAGTCTCTCCCATAAAAACGCAGACCTTGCCAAATGAAACACAAATTAATTCAGTCCAGTTGTGGCAATACACAGATACTCTAACATTATAAATAGATGCTTCTAAAAAGCACAGTATGAGAATCTGACATGCTTGAGATCAGATACTGAAACATTATTTTGCTTTAAGGAATGACTGCAACAAGAACACAAGAAAAAAAGAGAGAACAGTCAGTTGACTATCATTGCCTTTGTAACAAAGTGAGTGTAGTATATTTTTAACTTAGATTCAGAGCTAGCAATAAAATCCATTGAGTAAGATCCTGAAAATGTGGAATTATTTGAAATAGAAATTCCTGCTCAAAAGGGTGTGAAACAGTAACTTTAAAGGTGGTGGAGAGGGATAGGGCATCGAAAGAAAGAAACAGAAAAGAATTACAGTACTTAATCCAAATGGATTTTGTGTTTATCCTTTTATAATGTGTTCAACTCAACGTTGTGGTCTCAGATTTTCAAACAGCCAAGTGATCATCACAAAGCCTGATATCACTGACAGCCAAGCTTCGACTCCTAAAAATCATCACCCACCATGGCAAAAAAGACTCTTGACATCTCTAACCAGACAACCAAAACTGTCAAACACTTTTTGAACAGGTGACTACTCTTTAGTGATTCATCTGTAAATTGGAGTATCAGTGCTCTTTGGGAATTCTGTACAGACAAAGATTTCTGGAGTGCTCCAATCCTACAGTGATGAGCATTGTGAAAAAATTACTGATTATCTTTCCATTCATAAAGAATCATAAATTGGACCAGATACAGAAGTAGTTTCCAGTAAGTGCTATTGTTCATTCTGTATATGGAACAAGACAGTCTTACATAAACTAGGCAGACCACTATAGAAAACCTGATTTTGGAACCCACATTTCTCTCTCAACTAAAATATTTGTATGCATAACAGCTGTATAGCGTTGACTGTCTTAAAAGACCATACAAAACCATCAAGTGTTTTTCAGCATTTGTTTTACACCAACATCACAATTCAGGGATTTTAACAGCAGAAAGCACCTGAATAGGGCTGTTTCAGCTAATAGATTTTCCTAAACATATTTGCTTTATGTATAAATTCTGCACGTTTTATTTTCAATGCCAGCTTTGCTGATAAGTCAGTTTAAAATGCACCCCTTAACCCCTTAATAAGCAACACCTATGAAGCTATGGCAATATATATTGTAAAGTGTCCTTAAAAACCAGGAGAAACAAATACTGTAAACACTTTAAAACCCTGGGTTTCTTTATATTTAAAACCTACCTCAAATTCATTAGTTATACTGACAGGTCAGTGCTCGCTTAAATAAGTGCATTTCACACTGGGTTGCAGTAAAGCAACAAAAATCCACCAATTCTGTAATACAAAGGGCAAGAATGGAAAGGGGGAGCTGGCAGTAAGTTCTAGCTGGTAGAGATAAGTTAATTTATTACCATCCTGTTCTGATGACACACAATTCTTTAACTTGATCTGAAATTTCCATAGTACAAAACCAGCACAATTTTCAGCATGCATTCTGGCTACTCTGATGGTACAAAAGACTCTCTGTATGATCATGTGCATATATATGCATAACACTTACACGGGGGGAGCTTTTATTATTCTCCTCCAAAGAAGAGACCCCAAAGGAATCAGTGCCAAGGGTATGTGATGCACTGACTTTACTTACAGACAGGTGACCGGGATCAAGCCATGACTTTGTTGAAATAACTCCCCAATTCTCCATTTCTCATATTGCATCTATTACAAATGGCACTAAAGTGCTAGTCACTGGGGAAGAATGAAAAGTCATCCTAATGTTGGTTCCTGATAACAAGTTTTTACACAATACATTTGAAAACCATGCAACAGGTAGAGAATATTAATCATTCAAACAATGAAGCACTCCAAATCTAAAGCAAGTTGAGTTCACAACTACTAAAAAAATTACTAGCTCAAACTATTATTGTGCTTAATACAGAATATTGTGCTCCAGATATGAGCCAGAAAAAATACACAAGATGTACCCTCAGATTTAGACCATTAAATACAAGAGTTCACGTTTTTCTCTCTATAATTCCACTACCTCCCATCATCCAAACTTTACAAAGTTAAAAAATCAGATACTAAAAAATTAGTCTTATTTTGCAATAAAACAAAACAAAAAAAACCCCAAAAACCTAAATGCACAACAATCCAAATGAACACCCCACACTTCAGCCAGCCTTAAGTCACAGAAAATTATTAGTAAAAAATATGATACTTTAAAATGAGACAGCCTAATAAACTGTTCTCTCTAAATCTCATTTAAATTGCAGCTTTGTCAGGTTAATGTAAGCAGCAATGGGCAATTCCGTAGGAAAAAAAAAATTGCTATTAATTTCAGTTCTCTAAGATGTTGATGTATGAGAATGAGGAATATGACTGACTTTTCTCAGTTTTAACCTGGGAACTTTTAATTACTCCTGCCTTCAAAAAAAACCTCACATCATTATTCTCTTCATCTTTCTACCGTCCTCCTCAGAATTTCCTACTCTTTTTCCCTGTGGAAAATTTGCTGCTGTAGCCATAACAGACAAACAGAGGTAGCTTGCTTTGAATGCAACAGCCACCTTAAACCAAAACAGGTGTTGTCTAATTCTAATACCTGATTTCTGCTAGTTTTATTTGTCAAACATTACTGTGATGCTCAGTCAACCTAAATATAGGAAAAGATGAAAAATAGATGTTAAGTGGTAGGAGGACACACATAGCCCTTAAGCAATGCCGCCCTGTTAGGAATACTGACACCACCAGTGGGTTAATGTGAAAAGAAATTAATTATCACAGAGAGGAATTTGGAGATATTTTGCAAAACAAGCTATTTGAAATCATGCTAGAACACAGCAACACCAACAAGAAAATGAGATTTTGCTTCTGGACACAAAACAAACTTAGATGTGTTAGAACTACTTGTGTTTCTTCCCAAATCAAAGCAGTGCAATCACTGCAAACAGAAATTCCTTCTAAGAAAGAAAAGCAGCCTTTTAACACCAGGTCCAGCAAACCAGAACAAATGCAATGTTAAAATGTCTCATTGGAGAAGCATGTTAATTTGCACTCAGGAAACTGATCTCCTGATTCAAGAAAAGAGGAGAACAAAAGCTGTTTCAGGGAAACTCTTTTCCATTGTGAAGTTACGTCATTTCAGGAAGACTGGCAAAATCAGCAGTGAGTAACATACCTTTCAGAAAGAAAAGAACTTTCATGAGGAGAACTTAATATTTGACATGTCTGTAGGCTGGCAACAGCTGATGAGGGGAGTTGACCCGATTGCAATTTGTCTGCAGCAGGTAAATTTGCATCAATTATTACGTGGCTGTCTATGTACTTTCTTCCAATTTTCGTACTCAGGACGTTCGTCAAGATAACTTTGGGTTGCCTGCCATACATATAACAGTAAACCATAAGTACTGCACTGCAATCTAGAGAAACAAGCTTCTTGTTAAATTCATGTATCCTACAGGCTTGATAATTAAACATCAATATTTTTAGTCCCTTAGAGGCAAAAAAAATCCCATTAAAGTTCAAGAAAAACAGGTAAACACAAAAGGTAAGAAAACTAGCCATGTAATTTTATAATTTTACCTTACAGGCAATGCAGTGTACATAGTAACTGGCTAACATATCCTGCAGTTTAAAAACTGGTAAATATTTCTCTCTAAACAGCTTTCATGCAGTCTCTGTACACATTTGTCAGAACTCTGGAACAAACAATCTTGATTTTCCTGTGAACAAGAAGCCTCCAGTAAAACAGAGCATATTTTCTAAAGCACCTAGTGAACAGGTAGAAAACTAGCATGTGCACAAAAGGTAGCATTAGATTTTATTCCACTCCTCAAATATGAGGTAGCACTCTACAGTATTGCAAGACCCAGAAAAATACCTGCAGGTGTTAAAACAGAAAAGCATCAAAAAGAAGCCAAGCAGAAATATAAAGATGCAATTCCTACTTGAACATGCACACAATGTGTAAGAGCAGCTCAACTTTTTTCATACAATGTCACAGCAACCAGCTTGTTGTATAGCCCATATCCACTTCCTTTCTCAGACTGGGATTTAAATGCTACCACTTCCATTGCAATTTATTTTGGATTAGGTTGTAAGGCTATAGCCTTTTTGAATGTGTTTTGAACAACACGGCCTTTTGAGTATTGACTGCATAATTCTCCTGTTGTCTGTGTTTATCCACAGAGCACACTCCAGCACAGATGCTGTGATGTCTCGAGAGCACTCAGATCTCCTCTTGCAAGATATCAATTTGCTTTTCATCAGGAGGCTGCCTTCCAGACACAAATGCAGAGACCCACAGGAGATAAACAACTAAGAGATAAAACTTAAAGATGAAAATTCTAATACTGAAGAACATGTAGACTGGATGTAACCTCCAATAAAGGAAGCCCCTAAACTGTTATCAGAAGCTCAACAGAAAATCCAGAGAATGAAGCATTCACTCTAGCCATTCTTTTCACTGAACATCTACAATTGACCATTGCTTGCAGGGCTGCAAAGAAGATACTAGACTTGATATGCTTTTCTTCTGATCATTTATGCCAATTTTCCTATTTTCATGAGTAGTCTAAAGCAGTAACAGTGAAAATACACCTTGATATCTCCTCTTAGAAAAGCACTGCGGTTAAATTCCCAGTTCTGAAGCTCCAACTATTTCTATTCAATTTCACTAAACAAATTACTTAGAATTATGAATTACAAAGTCAGTAAAAATGCCCTACTGAAGTTAAAAAAGTATCTATACTTTGGTAGTTCTGCTAGATTGGCACTGAAGTCTTCACACAAAGAATTATTCTGCATTATAGCCAGTAACTTGGATAGTTTTCTTACAGCATCATAAGGATTGGAAAAGATCTCCAAGATAACAAGTCTTCAACTGAATACCACCATGCCCACTAAATCATACTGCAAAGTGCCATGTCTACTTGCTTTTAAACACTTTCAGGGATGGTGACTCCACCACCTCCCTGGGCAGTGCTGAACCACTCTTTCAGTGAATAAATTTTTCCTGATATCCAGCCTGAACCTCCCTGGCACAACTTATGTCCCTTTGTCCTGTTGTCTTGGATAAGAGACCAACACCCACCTTGCCACAGCCTCTTTTCATGCAGTTCTAGAGAGTAATAAGATCTTCCTTCAGCCTTCTTTTCTTCAGACTGAACAAGCCCAGTTCCCTCAGCTGCTCCTCATAGGAATTATGTTCCAGATCCTTCAGCAGCTCCGCTGCCCTTCTGTGGACTTGCTCTAACACCTCAACATCTTTCATTAAATGAGGGGCCCAGAATTGGACACAGCACTTGAGGTGTGGCCTTCACAGAGGGACAATCACTGCCCTGCTCCTGCTGACCACAATACTGCTGACACAGGCCAGGTGCCACTGTCTTTCTTGACCACCTGGGCAAACTCTGGCTCATTTTCACCTGCTGTTGACCAACACCACTAAGGCCTTTTCCACCAGGCATCTCTCCAGCCCCTCTTTCCCCAGCCTGTAGTGCTGCAGAAGGTGGTGGCGCCCTAATGGCAGGACTTCAATTCCAACTTATTGAATTTATAAGCTGATAAGCATTATAAATCATAGATGATTTGTCAGGATTTACTTTATTTTCAAACCTCTGAGAACTAGACTTGTTTTCCAAGAGCTGGTCCTATGAAGACACTGAAGTTCAGGCTAATTTTTTGGGTTTTAAAGATTACTGAAGCAAGAATTGGGTTTTTCCTACTGCATGTCTTGCATAACAAAAAAAAAAATTGTTCTCACTGTAGAGTAAGTCTCTTTTTAATAGCTAGGGAAAAAACCTTACTACTCACATAGCTGTTACACACATGCTACAGTAACATTTCTTAAGCAAAGGGCTGCTATTCCTCAGTGAGTTTACATCTGCAAGCAGCTGTAATTGTCCCACTCACATGCTGCCTTCAGCTCAGCAGCCTGGTTACATGGTACCAGTGGCAAATACAGCTAGGGCCTGGAAACTTTTGTTGCTGAAGGACAGACATGCTTGCACCTAAAGTGAAGCAAGCTTTGCACTGGAAATCTATACAAAGGAGAGGAACCTTCAACAAACAAGGATGCCAATGGTATACACTCATCAGTGCCAGGCCAAGGCATCACTTCTTATCTGGCACCAGGTTTTGACTGAAGGTTTTGAACCAGTTATGACCAAACCTTCAGAGCAGAAAAGGAGCATAAGAGCTTTCAATGGCTTCCCTTTTTAAAAGGAGTATGGCCTCTGGCAGTGTTTCTTGAAAATCATGTCACTAAGACTGGGAGTACAATAGATTCAGGGAAAGTCTAAACCTAAGCCAGTCTGCACATCTGTAAACAATGGTTGTGACACAGATCCCTAAATTATTTGTTAAACTGTCCACAGAATAAAGTGAGCAACTCAAGCAAAAGACATTTCAAAAGATTAAAGTAAGTGTCAAACAGAAAGAAGCAAAGTATACATTAAAAGCAAGTCCCACAAGCAGACCCAGCAAGTAATTTGCATAACAGTAACACTGGAGGCATCTTGGTGAAGGAAAACCAAAGACAATTATTTTAGTTTCCAAAACAAGTACCTACCATAGTCTCTCATCTACCTCCCAAAAACTGAAAAAAATACAAAAGCAAAGGTAATGAAAACATAGTTATGCATGTAATGATGGAATAAACAAAAAATATATTAAGAAAAATGCTGTTAGATGCTCCTGACAAGTCTCATTTTGCTTTTCACTGGCAATAAAAAAAATATCCTACCTTATAAACCACAGGAACAAAACTTATTGTTTATACCTCTTTGGGGAAAAAATGTTTGACCTCATTTCACACAATAGTCACAGCTGCTTGATATAGTTCCCTACCCAATGTTCATATCGTGTACACACACCAGTGCTGGAACTGCTGTCTGCAATTCATTCAAATTTGTATTAAAAAGTGATCAAAATGAGACAAGGAGACTATTGGCTCATTTGGGACTAAATTACTATTAATTGTCTACACCACTGTCTTCATGGCTATATTCTTTTACTAGTAAACCCAAGTTCTGGGAAATAAATATTTTGGCAGTGGGATGTCACGTACTGTTTGAGGGTTGTTCCTTCAGCTCTCATACAAGCTGAGGGTCTGTCCTGTGTTTACAGAATAAAGCCACTGATAGACCTGATGTGTATTCAGTTAGCTGAGCTTCTGTAGCACATGCACAGCCCAGGAGCCCCCTGACCTTTCTGAGCCCAAAGGAATAACATGACACACTATCATTAATGGGAATCTCTGATTGATGCATTCACTGACAACACTCTGTTGTGAGGAAACCTTTTGATTGTTCTCCTTCAGCTTTAAGGTCCTGTCCTTTCACCAACTGATGAGAAGTCAGTGACCCACAAACATGAACATCCCTATGAACCTCCTTGCTTTGCTGGACTAGGATGTTATTACTGAACAAATGCACTTGTCAGGGCAAGGGGGATCAGTATGTAAATCATTGCCACAAAAACTTGACTGCTACAGGGTCAGTACCTGATTCAGCTGTAACACGTTTCACTGAACATTTAAAGAAATGCCGAATTTCATTTGACCTGAAGGAACTGCACACATCTTATTTCAGTACTCCTTCCACCCTCCCCCCTAACTAGGGAACTAACCCACCCCAGGAGCCCTCTCTGGGATCCCAGACAAACCCCCCAACACTCACCTCTCACAAGCCCAGGAGCTGAGCTGTACAAGTGAGAGCAGCTGCAGTTGCTGCTACAGACCCCCATGATCTCACAGCACAACTGACAGAAGCAAATTACTACCAAATTTGGTAATCCAGAAGTTAAAAAAGCCCCATGTGAAGTTGTAGGTTTGTGCTAATATATCTACTTTGTCCTTTATGACTAAAATTTGCTGGCAGTAACAGTCCTGAAGCAACTCATCTCCCTAAACGCCTGAGATTGGCTCCTATCAATAAAGTAGATTGCTTTTAAAATACCAGGAGCTAAAAAATTGGCTCCTATCAATAAAGTAGATTGCTTTTAAAATACCAGGAGCTAATAGGAGTTTGTAATTAAGACTTATTTCCTACTCTGTAATGCAAATGAAAAATTCCTCACTGGGAATAAACACTATTGCATCAGAAAGACTTGCAGCACACAAGTTCACTCCTTCCTCTTTACAGTTTTGTCAGTTCTCAGACTCTTGCTCAACAAACACCACCTCTTTAGAACCTGGGTGCTCTTTCCACTTATTATGCAATGAAGTCCCCATGTTGATTCTGACTTACTGATAAACACTGAGTACCCAAGTGGAACACTTAGTACAAGCTTCATTGCAGACAGGAGAGTAAATTTACTTCACAGAGAGGCTCCAGCTAGTCTCTAGAAACATATCTTTTTTCAGGGGACTGAAAAATGTACAGGTTTAATGTCTAAATACTTGCTGTCTCTTTGCAGTCTAAATAATTTCTCACTATTGTGCTAGTAACAATTTGTGTAAAAATTATGGAACACCTATAAATGCTATTTGAAAGTCTCTTACATATTGAAATAAACAGAAAATTAGTACACAACAGATCTAAAGGTAGCTTTAAAGAAACCAAACTTCTCAATGTTTAAATCTCAGTTCAAACTTTACTGAGAGATTTTTAGAGATTGATATCTTGACATCACACATCAACCATGTCAAAACATAAATAAAATTCAGGAAACTGCAATTAAATTCTGTTAGGTTGACCCTGTGAGCTGCTCCCTCAGTTAAAAGTTACTGACAGAAGCTTTTTGAGGTAAGTGCATGTAAACTGACAGCTATGCCTCTGAGGAAGTATGAAAAATAAACTCAGCATCTTTTACAATTTCAGCTCTTCCTTGCAACACTTTGAAGCATTCTGAATATACAGACCAGGCTAAACAATGACTATTCATAAACCACAAACCTACAGAACCCAGCAGTGCCAAAATCTCCTGCATTTTCATTACCTGTGCACTTTCTTTTTAACAGCCTCTCCTGAGAAGAAACCACTTATGAGCAAGTTTAGTTGCAGTCAGAAAACAGAGCAGAGAATGCTTATTCATTTATTTAGAATTAAGTGATTTGGGGAATAACAACTGTTTCATTACGGCAAACATATTCATTTTGTCACAAAGTCATTATGTTTCCCAGCTCCTCCTAATAAATCTAGTTGTACATTTTTATTTCCATTTGTTAACTGCAGAAAAAACAGCTTCAAAATTTTCTTGGATAAAACAATTACCTAGCTGATAACTCTGAAGATGACAATTTTATCTTATAATAGCATATCAGTAATCTGCCATAATCTCAAAGAAACCAAGATATTTGCTCTTGGCAACAGAGAAAGAAGGGGCACATCAGCAGTCTTAATAATTTAAGCGCCTTGACACTAACACAGAGGTGGAAAAGCTCCCATTTTTTTTTACTTCCTTCCACTACTAATCACCATATTGTTTAAGGGATATTTTGATTATTTTAAAGAGTTGATAAAGCCTAGGCTAATAAGTGTGAGCTACAGAACAAAAAAGGATGAGAAAAAGAATTCTGGGGAGCTTATTACAGATCTAAAGATATCTAGGGCTAGAATGACAGTTTACACTTAGAGAGCAATGAACACCTTTCAGGACTCCAAGCAGGTTAACAAGCAGTAATTCCTCTAGTAAGCACTCTCACTCTAATGTCACAGATCTTGTGCTGATATTCCACAAAGGAAAGGTTACAGCTGCCATTAGACCACTGAAGCATGATTCTCTGAAGGTGAGCCACCCAAGAGCTTGAAAACCATCTCTGCATGACACAAATAATTAGCTAGAGACCAGAGACACTCATCTTCAAGAAAGACGTGAAACCCTGATTATGCAAACAGAGATAAACTAATTTTGAGATGACTTCTTACCCAATTGATTCTTCATCATTAGAGCTGTGTCTGTTGCATTCCCTTTGCCTTTTTCCTTTTGTGGAAGGCTTTCTGTTATTGGCACTTAATTTCCACTAAAACAAAACAAAATTGGCAGATTTCAAAAAACCTGATTATATCGTAAAGGATAATGCACTAGAAAAATGGAGCACTGCAACAATGCAACCGACCAAATATATCAAAGTTATGAAGAGCATACACAGCAATTTTGCAAGTAATTAATTTGCTTGATTTAAAGAATCCATATACCACCTGATCTTGAACAGAACTTTTTTCTCCTGAAGAACTATACAGGACAATTCCATTGCTTCCCAATTTCAAGAGGGACTTTAACAAACACAGACTTAAATATTAGGCCTGTTCCACATAATCAGAAATACACAAGATGCAGAAAGTAGAGGCTAACGCTGTGAATTTAGGCAAATTTTCCAGGCTACAATATGGATATAAAATATACAAAATTCTGAGGAGGAAAAGCAATTTGAAGGTTTGGAACTTAGGTGGCAAACCCCAGAACAGCAAGACTTGATTTTTTTCCACATTCCCTTACCTTACCAGAAAGTACTTATATTTCCAAATTAAGTAAAAGAAGCCCCACCAAAACATAGTTATTGTTGCAATTCCAGAAACATCCAGCCCTCCAACCCCCCTTCTAATCTTCCTCATTTCTTAAAATTCAAACTATAATAAACCCAAGAGATGCTTGAAAATTATGGCACTCAGGCTGAAAGCAGACAAACTTATCCTAATTTTTGACTAAGTGTGGTTTGAAAGGGCATCTGGAAAGTTCATGCCCATGCATATTCTACAAACTTTAATGAAGTCTGGAAGGCACATCCCAAATCAAACTGTTCACTACCATAGGGATTAACTCTAATGCAAAATAACCGATTATTAAAGTTGGCAGCAAGAAATTGACTTGACTGGGTTCTCCCCTCTTCCTGCCTTCCAACACCATCTAGTTTACCTCATACCACTGGTGTTCAAGCACAGGAGAGACCTGTACATCCAAATCACTAAAAACCACACAAAGTTTCTCAAACATGGTGCAAACTCTGACAACTCATGACCAAGTTTTTTAAAGTAGAACATAAAAACCAGCCAGTATTTAAAGCATTTGAAATCCCCTGATACATGGGAAAGTTTGAAACATATCTAGATATAGATAGGAAAAATAAGAAACAGAAAATCAGACAACATCCAGGAAATAAAGAATTTTTCAATTCACCATTCAAATCATAATTTTTGTAGAGGCAGACAGGTTGCTGCTTGTAGCCACAGGAGACACCACCTCCCATTTCAAAACCTGACTGCAACTGGAGGCTCTGCTCACTGAAAACATTACCAGTAGAGAACACAACCCCACAGCGAGTCTCTACTGCAGCATTCTCAAATGTCCTGGCCTACCAAGAGACCTGGGTCACATTACCACTACTCTAAGTCAGGAAAAATTCCTACCTTCCTTCACTACACCTTTCAACCTCCTCTGAGGGGGAGGAGGTCTGTTTGTCCAGGCCCATGATTCTGAAAGCACTAAAGCCAGCAACAAACTCTGGATGCTGAGCTGAAGGAAACAAGAGCAGCAAAGTATGTTTCCAACACTTGACATTTGAAATGCTTATGAAATTTGGAAAAGATTTATAGATGCAAATATTTGCTTCTGTATGTGACTGAGATGATCCAGACAATCAGTTATGATAAATGCCATAAGACTCTTACAGTCTTTTGGTCTTAATACAGTTATTTCTGTATTAGCACCTAAAATTCTGTCAAGAGGCATAGAGTGCTTCATATATTCTCTTAAAAGGTTAAGCTCCTGGATAACTGAAAACTTAATGTAAAGGTTATTTCTATATAACAAAAAGTTTGGTAAGTGATCTGAATATAACCTAAAAGTTCAGCAGTCAGAAGACAATCAACTAAAAAAATATTAAATATCATATTTACTTTTATATTAATGATTTTCAAGATAGTTTCAAACTACACTCAAAGACAAACTGCTTTTCATGATTTAGACTAAGACTCCCATGTCTGTAAATGTATGCTTGCAAACAGATTTCAGACTTATACACTTGCCTCTCTCATGACAGCCTGGATTAGTTATTGGTCACAAGGCAACACTTGGTTGCCTTGTGAAAAAAAAAACAGCCTCCAAAACCTCACGTAACATTCTCCTACACACTTTACGCTCTGAAGAACTTCTCTTTACCTCTTTTAAAGGGTAGTCACAATGGTGGGAGCCTGGGAGCCTTGCCAAAGGGGACTGAACTTGGACATCCTCTGACTTGGTGTTTGTTTTCTTCTTTGGTATACGAAACTGAAAATAGATGATGTTACACATGGTAAAACTAAATTATCCACTGGTGCTATGAGCTGACATATCTCCATGTACAATGTTGTCTTAACTGGGAAAAATAAAGTTGTAAGGGAAGCCCTGACTTGTGATTTTACTTGAAATGCATTTCTCATTAATATCTGATCTCAAATCATGTGTCATACCACATGATGAGCTAGTTTTAACACATGAAACCATCTGAAAAAGTTCTATTTCATTAACTTTATATCTTCCAAGGTGACAAAAAGGTGACAATCAATCCACTGGCACTGTCTTGGTTCATTCTGATTTGTTTACACTCCAGGTTAACTGTCTCAGCTTAGAGAATGATAAAGAGAAAACTAAATAGCTGAATGTCATGACCAGGTTTGCTTTCTCAAAAGAAAAAATTCAGGATGAAGAACAAGTACATCTTATAATAGTACAAGTATTTTGGTATGATAATTTAGCATTGGGCTTTAATGTTCTCAAAATGGTATCAGCTATTGTTATTGCCAACTCCCGCATAAATGGAGACAGCATTTTGAAAGTATTTATTGAAAGAGAAAGCAATTAGCAATCCACATGAATTCACCCGTTCAGAAAAAAAAGTATATGTAGGAAAGAAGGTTTGTTCATTGAAAATCAAAAAAATAACCAAACTAAATTTGTACTAGTTCATAAGACAAGGAAACAGGATGATATTTTCTATCAGTTAATTAAACCCGTTCAAGTGTCAACTGAAAGAATAAAAGTATTGCTATTTCTCCAGGCATCCTGAGAAGCAAAACCTTACATTAGAAATACAACCAGATGAGAATGTATCAGAGAGGGAATACAACATTTACACATCTCTGAATCTAGCTCAGGCAGGAAAAAGCTGAAGCTACTCCATATGATGGACACTGTAAAGCATCCTATGAACTCGATTTGCAAGCCACCAGATGCCTTGCATTGTAACATGAAATTAAAAGCAGGGATTCCAGAACAGTGACTCCAACAACCTAATTATTAGCACCTTAACTGCATTCATTAGCTCAGCAGGTAGTCCTTCAGACAGACCATAAGGAAGCATGCTGTACCATAATGAGATAATATTTCAGTCCTTCAGTCTAAATCCTGAGTGCTCTTACTCCTTCTCTACACTTCTTTGAAACTAAGATTAAAATTTTTTGTAGTTAGACCCAAATTTCTATACAGTATCTCAGGCTGCCTTTGATGGTCAAACACTCCTTTAATAACAGTTTCTTCAAAGTCTAAAGGATACAGATGTCACACACAGGTAACAACTTCTCAGACGATTACCTCCCTTTTCAATCAACATGGAAGGATTGCAACAAGACATTTTCTTATTCAGCATCTCCTACAAGTAGATTGTTTCAAATTTGTTTGGTTGGTTTTGTTTTAGAAGGGGCCTATAAACACGTTTATCAGTCAGAATGCATATTTCTGATCTGCACTGTAATGGCTAGGAACACATTTCTTACTTCAGACCTCCACCTGCTGCCTGACTAGCAGCTTCTGTTATGAGATTCCAAAGATCACACAGTTATCTAGAATTTTAACATACATTTAAAATTAAAGAGGTTCTGATAACTTCTGTAATGACGTAAGAGACAACATTAAGTACAGATAAAGTCAGACTCAGTAAAAAGAAGAGACAACTGACAGAAAGGGATAAAAAGCACAAGATACATTAACCAGCAACATTTTCAGCTCACCACACAGCATCTTCCCAATGCTTGCACTCATTAAGAAGATGCTGGTTTACAGCACCCACAATTAACTTACAGAGCAAGCACAAAGTCAACAGGCAAAGAGAGGTCTGAATCTATGCTAAACACAAGGTATGCAGTTGCCTCAGCTTTTCCCAAGTAAAAGGTGACTAACTCTACACATACATGTGCATACACACTCGGCAGCCTCATCTAAATCAGCAATACTTTCCTGAAGGTTCCCACCTGTAAAAGCAAGGGCCAGAGAAAGTGCATAAACACAGCTCTGGAAACAGCTCATTTCTAAACCACTAGATCCCCCAGACCTCACCCAATCCTACCTGTTCCTATGTCTACCATTTGTTCTCTCCAGTACTCCCACTGCTAGAAACTGCTTCTAACAGGGATATTTTAGGAAAAAATAGACACTAGCATAAGAAGCCTCTTATGCTAGTGTCTATTTTTTCCTAAAATATCCCTGTTAGAAGCAGTTTCTAGCACTGTACATCTCTGCAGATAACCAACTTTTACACAGTTTTGCAGCTCTTCTACTTACTTCAAGTTACTCTAAAATTTTTGGTGGTAGCCTAGGTCTTAAAATAACTTGGAAAACATCCTGTTTATGTGTAATCAAATGCTAAGCCTATCATGTATTAATAAATGTACAACAGTAGATATTAGTATTGACTACTACCACAATAAACAGTTTCCCAAGAAAGCATGATCCAACAAAGTGAAGAATCAATTTGGTTGTGCAAACACATCAGAACTCCCTAGGATTTCCACAGCCTCAAAATAAAATGTTGAAAATTTCAGGAACACTCACATTGACATGACTTGAAGATGATGTTCTTCCTGACATGGTTTTCTCTACTGGAAAAAAATACAAAGGAAAAATAAAAAGAAACTTAACAATTTCTGGTTTATTGATTAAGAGGCAAGTAGAACCACAGTAGTAGGCACTAAGAAAGAACAAGAAAATAATTTTTCAGCAATCTAGAACAAAAAAACCACATTCATAACATGCATCAGGTTGCCCAAAGCCTATTCAACCTGACCTTGAAGACTCCCAGGGATGGGGCATCCACTGCTTCTCTGGGCAACCTGTTCCAGTCTCACCATTCGCACTGTAAAAAATATTTCCTTGTGTCCAATCTACACCTACCCTCTTTCAATTTATGACCGTTCCATCTTACCCTGTCACTACAGGCCTTGGTAAAAAGTAATTGACAGCCACACACCTGGGCAAGGCTCTGGATTGTCAGTATAGACTAAATTTTTAATGAAATTGTCCTAGAATCTATCCTTAGTTATGACATTTACTGATTAACTCCTTGCTGCAGGCACACAACTAATAAGAAGTTCACACTTAGATTATAGAGTGAAAAGGAGTAAAAGAGGACAACCACTTCAAGGGCTCCCTGAATAAGTAATAGACAAGGAATCCTGTTAAACCTACAAACTTCATCACTAAAAGAACACAGCCTCAGAGATTCCAGCATTTATAGGTATTTTCTTTATACATATTCTATATGACACTGGCATAAGACCTTGAAAGATTACAGCTAGTTTGCAGTCTCTCGAGAAGCCAAGTTCGGGGACTTTTACTTATCTCGGAGGTTTTTTTAAGTTAAGAGCCATAGGCCCGCAGGGTGGGGAAGGGACCGATAAAGAAAAGCCAAAGTAGTGCCTGTTCCGACGCCTGCGAGGAGGAAGCACGGACGCACGGGGGCCGCCTGACAGCTCGGGGGAGCGGCACCCCCAGGAGCGGCAGCGAGCGAGCTACACCGCCTGAGCCCGGCCCGGCACCGGGCCCCGAGCTCCGCACCCCGGCTCTCCCCGCTGGGAAGGGAACAGCTTCCCTCTGACAAACCCGCAAATCCCGACGGCCTGAGCCAGCAATTCCACCTTTTCACACTCTCTCCTCAGCCTTCTCCCAGAGGCGCAGCAACGCCGCCACCAGCCCTCCCTCCGTCCCGCGCTGCCCTCCGCTCAACCGCGCTGCCGGCTCCGCTCGTTCGCGGCAGACACCGCGGCCTCCCCCAGAACGCTGCCGGCGGGCTGCAGCCCTGCCTTCCTCCCCCCTCCCCCGCCGAAGGGCCGGCAGCGGGCGGGAGCGAACGGCCCCAGTATCAGCACCGGCACTCACCGCCACTCCGCAGCTGTTTACCCGGACCGGCCCCGCCGCCGCGCCGCCGCCTGCGCAGCTTCCCCCGCTACTTCCGGGCCGGGCACCGCCCCGCTGGGCCATGTCGGAGCCACCGCCCGGCCGCGGCCCCTCAGGCCCTCCGAGCTTTAGCCTGCTCGGGATGAGCTCCGTACTGACCCGCTGAAAGCCACTAAAGAACCAAGGAGCTGCATTACTTGTAAAGGAGCAATAATGAACCTAGGCTAGCCCAGGCTTAAGTTGTACCTTGCTAATGACATTTCCCTCAGCTGAGGCCAGACCCTGCCAAATTAATCAAATTAACGCCCTGCCGGGGGGGGGGGGGGGGGGGGGGGGGAGAATGCACAGCCGGGGAGAGCCCTTATAACCCTGCTGCTCGTGGTTTGCAGCCGCTGCCCTTTGAAATCCTCCTGCAACCAAGGCGAGAGGAAGATTTGTTGGGTGGGGTTTTTTTTGCTGTGTTTTTTTCAGGGCAGCTTCAGAATTGTAAGTTTTCTGTGGTGCTTTCTGCTTTGTTTTCTCCGTGGTAGTGGGAATTGTAACTGGTGTGGATGAATATTTGGTTTCATACTCGAGGTGTAGCTCTAGCTTACTGTCAAGTGTGAATTACAAACATGAGGGGTTAGTTTGTAACTTGGAACTACTGGGATGCTTTAGGTGGCCACAAACCATCAGCTACTGACAGATCTTGTAGATGTACACCCCAGTAATGAAAACTGAAACCATTATTTGGTTTATTTTTTTTCATACAGAGGACTTGTCTAGACTCCCAGAGTGAAAAAGATTTCCGTCTATGATGATGACAGATTTTACAGAAGAGCATATGGTAATATTGGGCTTTACTAGAATGAAGTGGTTTTAAATGGAAAACCAAGTAATCTTTACGGATCTTATGTAGTACTTATACTGCATTGGTGTTTACAATATGCCAAATGCTGCAACAAGTACCAGCTGAATTTACATCTGAAGCATTTTAGAATCTGAATAGAAAAGTGGGAGGAAGGGAAAGAGGGATTATTTTTCCCCAAAAGCAAATTTTTAAAACTAAGGTAGCAATTGTCAAGGCTATTGTAAATGCAATATTCAAGGTTTTATATGCTAGCATATAAAACCTTGAATATTGCATTTATATATATAGACAGTGAAATACAAACAGCTATCAATGCTGATTTAGAATGCAGACTTACAACAAAGAAGTGCATGCATTATGCAGCTGTATCTGGAACAACCTGTAATTGCTACTTTTTAATTCTATAATTAATTGTGTTACTACAATAAAATCAGTTCTCTGGACTAATAAGTATATAATTCTAAGCTACTATTTAAGTAAACTCCAAAATGATAACCTATCATTAATTGCCTCAAAACTTTTCATTTTGTATCCTGAAGGCAATTTTAGGAAGGAAAGTCATATGTGCACTTCACGTAAAACTGTGTTTGTTTGTTTGTGCTTCCTGAAATCTTCAGCAACCATTCACAATGCTTTGTAAAGTAGATGTTCAGGGTTTAATTTGGAATCACACATCCTTGGTTTGGAACTGAAAAAACAATGTTGCTGTTAGTAGCTGAAGTAAAAGAATAGTAACCTCCTGTTCAGAGTATGCTGGGAATTTAGTCTCTCCAATCTTTTAGGGGTGAGGAGGGAAAGGGACTGAGAGGTGGTCCCCAGCATGCCACTCCAAGGAAAAGGCACCTACCTATTTCTAATTCTTACAGAAAGCTTTCTGCCTTTCTTCAAACGCATCTTTCCTTAAAATATGCCCATTTTTCTCCTACTTGGTCTCATGGGAACAACAACTGGAATATTGGTAGTTTCTTTCCCACTAAGTATTATCTCTTTTGCATTAATTGCCCATATTTCAGTAGTATAGCAAACACACTGTTTTCCCATCTCCTTTGTGTCTTTTGTGCCTTCCTGCAGAATGAAAAAATCATAGATGAATGGGTGCCCTTGCATTCTCTTTGTGCTGTTTCCATTTCAAGAAACTGGCAAGAGAGTAATAAATGGACTATATATCATAGCATATGATTTTTCCCCTTTTTCTATGTGTACTGATTATATGAGGTAAAAAAGGAGAAGGCATAATTTTCTAGCCTGCTCTCTATTATTTAGAAGACAGGAATGACCATGAAGAGAGGACTTAATAACACTGGCCCAGTGGAGATTACTTAAAAAGAAAATACATATGGTGTTTTATGTGTTGAAAAGGAAAAATGTTTTTGTTTGGTTTTGTTTGGGGTTTTTTGTTTGTTTGGTTTTTTTTTTAAATTTAGGAGTGTAAGAAATATTTTTGCTAAGCACCTTACCTCAAGGAAACTTGCATTCCTTGAAAGAGTTGGGTTCCAAATCAAGTTGCTTACATGAAAATATTCAGATCACTTTTTGTCCTAGTAATTGGCTTTATCAAATGGTACAGTGACTTTTAATATAGAATGTAATTTACTGTGTTCTATAAAACTTCTTTTAGTTCAGCAAGAAAAACTTAAAGGTATACAGTCTAACTTGCCAAATGTAACTTGATTCAGACCGTTTATAGGAAAAAAATTACTGTATTAGGACTAAACTCCTGTAAAGGTAGGATTCTGACCATACCAAAGGTTATACCCTGTTTGCTGTTCTACAGCCAGTGACAGTCAGTAGTAGATTGAAGAATTACTAGGAAAATAGAAGGTTATGCTAAACTTAATTTTTCGGCTGCTCAAAAATCACTTTCTGGTATAATTCATTTCAGTCATAAGAGATAATCTGAATTTGGAGATCTCAGGCCAACCTCATGATAGTTTGCTGCCTGGACTTTCTTTTCTCCTGCTCCTGGATCACAGTGGCTACTTTATTCTGTCATCCATTCCTCTATTTCCATGTGGCAAGTTCTTGCAAGGATGAATGACTAATTAGAGTGATTAGCAGAAAGCAAGCACATCATTATTATCTGTTCTAGTGCAGCTGAAGGTAGAACAACATGGAGAGTATGCTGGTACACAAGCAACAGGAAGGTTTAAGTCCTTAGTAAGCACAGCTTATTTTCTTTAAAAGCTCAGGATGCAGTTATGACGCTTGGACTATGTCCAACTGCCTAGGCCTGTATTTCAAAGGTGGCCTTGAAACTCAGTGGAGTTCCAAGATAATGGCTAGGAGACAGCACAATAAAAGTTGTTCAAGTGAACAATGAGCCATGTACATGTGCCTCCTTCTTAAAGCCCTTAATTCAAACTACCTTAACAGATCTTTAAATAAACATGCTACTTACAAATTTTTAACTACCAAACTGAAATAAGGTGTAATAAAGGCAGAGGAGTTACTGCTGTTGGAACTTTGAAACTGACATCTCTAAGAGGTTTTAGAAGCAGCTGGTTTGCTATACATCACCATGAAATACTCTGGTTTAACAAGTATTTAATTTGTAACAGCTTTTAAATCTAAATTCTAATGCAGGGAGGGGTGGGGAGACAGGTGTTGTGTGGAGGTCTATCACTACTTAAGAAGACAATAATAGTCTTCTTAATTTGTAGTGGTTACAAATACAGCGTGAACTCAGTTTGAGGAAACTAACAGAGGGTTCCAAGTATCAAGAGGAACTAAAATATGACTTCAATAGAAAAGGGGAACTGAGGCACCTGGATACAAATGAGTCCTTTGTTTTCAATTACTACAAGAATGGACATGAGCAGAATCATGAACGCTATGAAGTTCTGGGACATTCTATTACCCAGTATGTTTATGAGCTCCTGGAAAGAGTCTGCATGCTGCAGAAGGTTTATATTCCTACAGATGCTACAGAGGATGAACCAAGAAGCTTCTTTTTCATGAGCAAGGATGCATTAACAAGTTCTTCTAGCCTAATTATCTTTCTTCAAGACCACGGAGCTTTTTGTGCTGGACAGTGGGGGCGAAGGGCAATTGTCAGTGAGGGCCTGAAACATGGAACACAAATACCATTCATCAAAATGGCCCTGCAGAGCCACTGGGAAGTGATTGTACTGAACCCCAATGACAATGTCACTGATATGAACACTGAAAAGGAGAGATTTTCTGTCAGACAGTCTGCCTGTTTGATCCCCAAGAGGGGTAGCAGCAGCCCCGAAGAGCACACTGTGTATGTATGGGATCATTTCATTGCAAAAAGTGCAGCCAGAAACGTGGCCTTCATTGCCCATGGCTATGGTGGGTTGGTGTTTGTTGATCTGCTGGTGCAGAGGAAACGTGAGGTGATCAATAAAGTGTACTCTGTGGCATTCATTGACTCCACACACAACATACAGCATCAGAGCAGGCATGATCCAGAAATACAGGAATGGATACACAAAAACTGCCGAGAATGGGTGTCAAACAGCAAACCCCTAAATAAAACTGTGCACTTTCTCATGAGAGTAAATTGTCCTACTTTCTCTGCTGGAACAGAAAAGTATGGTTTAGCACCCTCCTGCTGTTTACAACCCATCTTTAAGTACTTGAAGAGCATGCTGAAAGCCAAGATCACAACAGCCTTGAGGAATTCACCTGTTGAAACCAGAAGCAGCACAAGAAAGAAGACAGGCAATTAATAAAGGTACACTGGTTTGTTCTTGATAGTGGTCTCTTCCTTTCATAAGTGCCTCTGCACGTTTCAGTCACTTAAGCACCTTCATCTCACTGTGGAGAAAATCACAGTTCTAAGTTTGAAACTATGTTTGGTTTTGAGAAGTCTCCCCCTTCTGTTTGCACCAAAAACACCTCTTTGGTGACTCGATTCATGACCCGCTGCACACGCAAAAGATGCATGGCCCAATGAACATGAGAACCAAAAGTCCTACTAAAATATAAAACCCTATTTTTAGAAGCTCTTTCCACAATGGAGAAAGATCAAAAAATCCAACAACATCATCGATCCAAGATCCAGTGATCTCCCCAAGCTTTTTTATACTTTCCTCTATCTTTTTGATGTTCTCATT